ATTTGAATTTTCATATTTCCATGTTAAAGGAAAAAAATTGTTCTTCACAACAACTTTAGCAATCTTTTCTTGTCAAAATCAAATATGGTGTAATGGTTATCCAAAAACAAAAGTGAGAATCCGTTTTTAATCATTTGGGGCACACTACAAGAAGAACATCATTGATGTATTTCGTACCTTTATTCGTTTCAACAACAATGGTACCTTTGCCTTTGGACTCAACAACAGCACCATTCCTCATTGCATCGGAACTTATCAAGCTATCCAACTTGTAAAAAATATTTGAATTATCTATCATATGATTACTGTAACCACTGTCAATTAACCATCTCTCCTTGTTTCCAGAAGTTGATGTTTGACGTGCACAAAACAAATAATCTTCATCTTGGTTTTTCAGAAATGGGCCTCCATCTTAGACTCCTTTTCTTTTATTTTGCAGTCCTTGTCTACATGACCATATCTCTTGTAATATTGGCATTGAGGTCCCCCTTTAAAGTAGCAAATCCTTTTCTACATGATTTTTCTTCTTACAAGTTCCACAAGGAGGAAAATTTTCTTCTTGTCCTGTTTTTCATGATTACCACTTAAATCTCCAAGCTCTTTCTTCTTCCAAGAACTATTACTATAACCATCTTCAGATGCAATCTCCGTGATTTTCTTCAACTTTTTATCAGGTACTTGCAAAAAACTCATTAGGCTAAATTCTTTGATTCTTCAATTATAATGACAATTTTATTTACGTGTCGGTTAAAAAGGCCGCAAGAATTTTCTGCAAAAATTATTGCATTAGAGATGTCTCTCCCTAAGTTTTCATTTGGTTTACAACTTCTAGTAATCTAGTGGATTTATTCTCCCCCATCTTCATATTTTCAAAATCCCCATCTTCATACTTTCAAAATCTTTTCTTAGATAATTAAGTTTGGTTGCTCTTACTCTGTCATTCCCTTGAAATTCCTTTTTAAAGCGAATCTCATGCAAATTTTGTCGATGTCGCACGCATAATTCTGGGAAATATGATGCCTAAAACAACATTAAAAACAGAGGACAGAGCTTTGGCATCTTCAGCTCACCTTCTTTCTTCCTTTTCAATTGAGCCTCATTGTATGTAACTCCCTCCTCCCATTTTCTAAGGCCATTATCTATTATCTCTCATTACGCATTTGCTCTTAAGAAAAATTTCATTTTGATGCTCTAGTATTCATAATTTTTCCCTCAAATATTGGAGGTGTTGGCGTCGAGAATATTGTTGTTGATGCTGCAATAGTTATAGTTTAGCAAGATGGGTTGATTCTCCGATACCACTTGTTAGATATAAGATAGTTTATAGAATAGAAGAAAATAGAAAGAATAATTTAGAGACAGAAAGCTTTTGTTCATTATCTCATTTCTTCATCTTTACAAACTGATCTGCCACAATCTATTTATAGCTTTCACTAGAGTATTCTAGAGCTATATCTTAGGGACTCTAGAGCACTCATATTATTTAATACACAACTGATCCCTAGAGCTATGTGAATTTTGGCAATTCCCTCGCTGATCCCTCGTTGATCAGCGAGGGATCAGCGAGGGAAATTTTCCCTCTCAGATCAGCGAGGGAATGAGTTTTTTGGCATTTCCCTCGTTGATCCCTCGCTGATCTGCGAGGGAAACTTTTCCTCGCAGATATTTGTCGTTGATACCTGGTTTTCTAGTAGTGTTATCATCTTCTTAACGGCTAGACAACATTCAATATAGACACTAAATAAAATTAACAAAAGTTCTCTTGCATTAACAATAATGTTGGAAGCATTTAAGGTCATATGGGCAGAATAAGCGGAGCCAATATACCCACACAAGGAATTTGGATTAGAGAGGGAACTTGGGGCGTTGAAGGTTTCTGCCAAGTTTTTTGTTGTCGCAACAGTGACACAGACTTTGTGTCCTTAAATACAAGGTCATTTTCCATAATAACGACCTTGATTGTTATTGCGGTCACCACGGTGACCTTGAATGTTGGTATATGAGTACATGACATGTATAGATGGATGAACATGAGCAGCAAAAGATGAATAGCTTCAAGTTTAAGGAATTGCAAAAAATATGATGTTTTTTTGCCTAAGCAATAAGATTGTTGAACCGGGGTAGCGAGAGGAGCAACATATAAAATGGAGAAAGAGGTGGTTAATTTTGCTCCAAACCTCAAAGAAACCATATAGATTTGTAGGAGTCACCCACTAGCTTCCCAATTGAAGCCAATAGGTCATAAAGAATTCTGAATTTTTTTTTATTAACTTGGATATCCAATCCGTTATGCGATCCGACTAATCCCACGATGACCACCTACTTTGCGGGTATCCAAGAGTCACTGCATTTGAACCTCCGTGGCCACATGGAGATTTTATTCCTCTTTGGATTTGAACCAGGACCTCGAGGCATTTGAATTTTTTTTGTTCATATTCTTGCACGTAGATTTTGCTAATTGGTATTAAGAGTCATGTCACGAGATCTTGTGTGGTGTTGCAAACCACAACTAACGATATAGCTTCTTAGACAAGGAAAAGAAAAGTAGCATGCAAAGTTGATGATCAGTATGTTCAAAAGGTGATGAACATAATCTATCAACAAACTACGAAACCTTTTAATATTGGAGAAGCTGCATAAGTTGATTATTCCATAAAAGATAGTTAGAAAAGGAAAGTTTAATGTTCAACATGTGAACCAAGGTAGAAAGGGGAGAGGGGAGGGAGATGGGACAAGAGGAAGAGGTCTCATTAACAGGAGTTGAAGAGGTAGAAGCCATAGGATCGAATTTTGTGGTGTTAACCTAAATGACTCCGATACCAAGAAGGAGATTATATTCCAGCAAAAAATACCGTGTAGGATGGCCTTTGCATTATATAGGCAACTTTAGATAGATACAAAGTTGAAAAACGTATATGTTAATAAAGAAGGAGAATCACACCCTAACTAATATAGCAAATATTTAGGAATTATCAAAATTATGAGATTGAGATAATTAGGAATTTGAATGCATATACTAAGAAATTAGTGCCTTGTAATGCATATAGAATACAAATAAAATATAATGGTAGGGCATATTTCAAAAACATTAAAATGTTAATGATACCCAGGTTTAAGAACTTGGTCTACCACTCATTTCTTCTCCTTTAAACTCTGATTTTGCCAAGGACATCTCATGCAGAGCCATACCTTCACTTTTTCAAACCTTATGCCATGTGTCATTATATCTTCAATTGTAGGACTTACAACTGTGCTACTTGGTCCCATCTGTTTCTCCATGACAATTTTGTGATGGTTAATTGTTGTCCAATACTTTGTTTGCTGGTCACGTGTAGCTCATGATAGTTTATTGTAATCTTGTATTTGTATTTTTTTTCTTTATTCTTTTTTTTTAATTGAGAAAAAAAGCGTATTCGGAAAAGGATTCTTTTGTTCTTAGTGTTTAGAATACCAAAAAAGTTGTAGCATTCTTTTGTCCTTAGTGTCTTGTCTTGGGTTTGTATTTTTATCTTTGTATTGTTTTCCGAACGTTTAAACTCCCATTGTTATACCTAGGCATTCAATCAAATAGCTAGCCTCTTGGTCCTGTTTGTGTTTCATGGCCTCCATTTTTAATATATCTATATTTGCCCTTTTGTAGTTTCTATCTTCTTTAATACTTGCTTATGAAATCACTTTGCATTTATATCTTTTTCCTTAACTTTACCCAAGTGTACCCTTACAAGCCAGTGCTATTGATCAGAACAATAATAGTTTACATACACTAGTTTATGCCATAGAAGTTGTTGAAAACCTAGTTGTGTTCATAACTAGTAAACCGTTGTATTCTCCTCATCGTAGAGGTAAGGTATGCGTCATGTGAGATTTGTCGGGTCTGTTTTTATTGGTTTGGTTTGGTTTGGTTTAACTAGTCAAGGGATGGATTCGGGACGTTGGATTATCTGGGTACATACTTTGTGAAATGGTTGATGAAATTTGTAGAAGGCTTGTAAACAGAAGTACATAGAACAAGCATGCAAAATAACATAAAGTATCATTTAACGAATTCTAAATGGACTATAAAGTAAAAACCTACAAAAATGTTGCTAAGCTTATGGAGAGGGGAGAGAGATGAAAAGCAGCAAAACCGCTCTATCAACTGCTACCATGCTAGAGAGTGTGTAAAACATTAAGAGAAAGAAGATCTAAACATAGTTTGAACCACAATCTTTCAAAAATTTAGTTCTAATGAAATTACTGACTTACACAATCAGTTATGGAGAAGAAGATTTATTAAGAAGACGAGGAGTAAAGTGTAGTTTAAGCCAACGACTTTCTAGGTATGGCATTTAGGAATATTATGACTAAATACTACCAAGTTAAATGCTATATCACAAGAGAAACAGGTGCAAAGTCTATAACCATTGTAGTGACTTTTACTTCCTCTTTACATATGCTTTTTGTTTGTGTTTTACTTCTTGTTTCCGATTGTGTATCTCAACATATTTACATTATTCCCCCAAGAAATCTAGTGTAGAAAACTGATCAACATAATAGAATTGTGTAACAAATTGGACCTATGACCTCAATGTTCAGCCCTCTTGACATAAGTTTCTGAATATTATGCTCCCAATCTCGCTATCACTAATTTCTACCATCATCACTTCCAATTAATCTGACCATTAATTTTCTTCTATATAGGCAGTTAAGATTGATGCCTTGAGTATCTATATAGTTCAATGTTTAGGTTTAACTACAAATTAAAAAGGGTTCCCCAAATCTTTAACTGTAAAGTTTAGTCAATGTAACTAGTTTTGTCTCATGTCTTAATAAGCTTTGGTTTTTTTCCTGATTTTCATCTTTCTCTTGTATTTTTCTTTTTTCTGATTGTACATCCTCACTGTTTGTTATCAATAGTCTCAATAAGCTTTTTGGGAAATTTTAATTCCTAACTAACAAATGGTGTCTAAATTGGACTTGAAAATGTGTATGTTTAATGTTCTTGTTTTGACTTGTCACAGCATGGAGAGCATCTTGGAGCGATATGAACGATATTCTTACACTGAGAGACAGCTAGTTGCAGCAGATGCTGCACCGGTACCCTACTTCATATGCTAAAATCATTCGTCGCACCCATCACTTCACTAGAGATGATGTTTTTGATCTAGTTATAGTTAAATGAGATTTTAAACTAACAACTCGTTTTTCTTTTAATGATGATATGTTGAATCTGTATATATCCACAGAGAAGCTGGACCCTGGAGTACAACAAACTTAAATCTAGGGCTGAGCTCTTACAAAGAAATCACAGGTGAGAATGTAATCCACAAAAAGATGCATCTTTCCGACACTTCATTCTTCCTTCTTTTTATATAAGAAACTGAATTTTTGAACTCTTGGTTGTTTATTTAAATGTTTAGGCACTATATGGGTGAAGATATAGAGTCATTGAGCTTGAAAGAGATCCAAAATTTGGAGCAACAACTGGATACTGGTCTTAAGAATATTCGCTCAAGAAAAGTATTCATGCAAACAGCATATATATTTAATTGTTTATTGATATATCTATAGATCATACATAGATTCACTGGAAATTTTGTGTAACAGAATCAACTCCTGCATGAATCAATCTCCGAGCTTCAGAAAAAGGTGGGGATCTTTTTCCTTTATTTTTTCTTCTACGATGACAGTTTTTTTGCATTTCATTTAAGGTTATATCTGGTTTATCATCTTGATTTTTTCATTAAAACTGATTCTTCACCATATCACTGTACACCAGAAATAGAAGATAGACTAGGAAATTCAACACTGCCTTGTTAGAAATTCCAGTGTTTTAGTCAACAGGGGGGGGGGGAAGCCTTTTATTGTCCTCTCAATTTGTGTGCATAAAGAACTTCTGTTCTTGTTGAAGCTGATGCATATGGATGCGTGCTTATTTCAGTAACTATATAGAATCTTGAACTCATTATATATATATATATATATATATATATAGAGGGATGTTATTYTACACCCTTTGCCATTCCTACACCCTATACAACCCTCATCTCAACCATTCAATTTTTAATCAATTAATTGTTTCCTAATATAAAATATTAATCATAATTAATAAACTCTATTCATATTTCATAAATATTCAAATCATAATAAATGAACTCCAATCATTTCTATAAATATCTCAATTAATTGGGTTGCAAAGGTTGTACAAATGCACAAGGTTGTAAAAGAAATATACCATATATATATATATATATATAGGGTTGGGTTCACGTGAGACCAGGCTGTTTTTGTGAGACCCGTGAGACCACGTTTTTACACTTGAAACTTCACAGCAAAAACACTGTGAAGGTTTAAAAAAGTCGAACCTTCACAACAAAAACACTGTGAAGGTTACCTTCATAGCATTTTGCTATGAAGTTTCAAGTGTAAAAAAGATGGTCTCACGGGTCTCACGAAAATAAGCTGGTCTCACGTGATCCCAAGTCTCTCTCTATATATATCCACATGTAACACACATGCATCTATCCTTGCAATCTAGATATACATTCAAATTCTTTGGTTTTTAGTGACTTCATCTGATTTCTCATGCATGATGAACCACCAGGGGAAGGCTATACAGGAGCAGAACACTACATTGACAAAGAAAGTAAGTTGCTACTGCTCTTTTTTGACTTCAACAAATGCAAAGTTAAATTAAATAAAGCTGCTAGCTAGGTTTAAAAACCCTTTGATGTTCATCTTCCATTTCCATGTTCGTTATTCGTTAATCGATTCTTATAAATTTTGTTATTGTCGCACGGAACAATCGAGTGATATCAAATGTTCATTCCATGAATAGATCAAAGAGAAGGAGAAAGAGAAGACAATAACACAAAACGTTCCATGGGAACAGCATAACTATGTCGATACTGATGCAACCTTCCTCATGCCACCACCACCTCCTGCTCTCAACATTGGGTAATCATTTTCTCGTATAATCTTTACCGTTTTATAGCGCTTTCGGCACTTCTTTTAAAATTGAAAAAAAACATCTTTTCACTACAACAAATTAAATCTAATTTTTATGGCGTTTTTATATGATATTCTTCAAGAAATATCATATAAAAAAGCCAACCAAGAAGATCTATAAATAGCTTATTGTTAGGTTGCCAACTGCGTCTTGATAACTAATACTGTAACTTCTATGTATAAGACGGGTAATTTTTAGTTATATAAACTTTAAGTATCGTTAAGTTCTCTGTTACTCGATCATGGGCGTCTTAATAGATCACTTTTGTCGCAGCGTTTTGTAATACATATCCAACAGGTGCTTATTGATAACGAGAAAATCGTTACATTATTCTTTTAAAATATACAAATGACAAAATCAGGACTTTGTTAATTTATTTTGATATAGAGAAAATTACAACCAAGGTGGTGGTGGTGGAGAAGCAGCTGAAGGGAGGACCAACGACCTCGACCTCAGTCTGCAGCCGATATATTCATGCCACCTGAGGTGCTTTCCTTCATGAATAATAACCTGGTGACCCAATCAATGCTTTAATAATTATAAATAATGCTTTTGTTAAATGAGATTTTTAAGGAAGAAAGAACAACATCAAACAATCAACGATCAAGTGTTGTATGTTTGCTCAAGAATTATCGTGTAATGCGTGTATAAAGCGGGAACAACAGAAACCCGCCTTGCTGTTTATTTATTCGTGTGTTGTGTGACATTTCATTTTTATGTTTTCGGTACCAGAGCTAAGTTACATTGGTTATCGATCATGATTGCCGAATTTGTAGTTTCCCTTTTTTATCGTTACTTAGTACGTTGTTGTGTCGTTATCTTCAACCATTCTCTTGATATCGTTTTGGAGAAAGCATGTTTGGTTTCATCATGCTCTTATTTCAGCTTCTAGTAGGACTTGTGAAAAAATACATATTATTTAGATGCATACATTTACTGAACTCATTTACAATATAATCTCAATACACAAATTAAATGGTTGTATTCATACATACATAGTTGGAGTCTATCTCAGGTAACCAACAGAACAGTTGGATCGAAAAGATAATAATCAAGAACAAAATGATAAAATTTAAATCAAAACCCTAAAACTGATGACTAAGGTGTTGTTTGTGATTGCTTATAAAAACAACTTTTTGACTTATTCCGTGGTAAGGAATAACCAGTTACACCAAAAGATGCAGTCAATACACCCAGAACCACACCTGTAACCCAAGTTAATTCACGAGGTTTTTTAAATCCACCGGTGAGATATGCACGAAATACATGTGGGATCATCATTAGGACCATCATCCTCACCTTCCTCCGGCTTATTCACCACCGGCAGTGTGTTCAGGGTTCCAAACTCAAGGGAAGTGGCTCGGCTATTCCGCCTAGCCAAGCTAGAAAAAATGGATTAAAATTAAATATGAATTATTCGTGGTAAAATCCCTGTATAATGTATTTTAGTACAATTTTTGGCTGATATAGGGATCAAATGGAAAGAATCATTCAGGAATTCTGAGTCAACGAATAGTTAATGATTCCTATTTGTCATAAATTTTGGCTTTTTTGGATGAAAATATACATTTGATTTGGTGGTACCGGTAATAAGCACTTTTGAGTGTTTGGATAAACAACTTATACCGGTGCCAAACCGGTAATAAGGAGTTTTGGAAGAAGTTAAACCCTTCTGATTTATAATAAGTTGATAAGTGTTTTTATAGAAAAGTATAAATTGTTTCAAATAAGCAATCTCAAACACCCCCTAACTTAAAGATCATAGAAGCAAATATTCAAAATGCCAAAGCTTAGGTCAGTTAGATGTAGAGAATTGCAAGAGCAAAAAACAAGGAAACGATAATACATTTAAGGTCCCGTTTAGTTTGTAGGATTGGAATGAATTTGAAGGGATTTGTAATTGAATTCCAATACAATCACATGTTTGGTTTGAAGAATTTCACGAGATTTCGTAGGATTTATATATAATAATATTGTAAATCTGTTAAAAACATTTTGTTTGGTAATAATCAATTAAATATAAATTATTTTTTATAATTATTCATATAAAATTTGTTTTTATAAATAATGGAATTCAATTCCAATCCAAATACAAAACAAACGTACCAAACATTCTATATCCAGATCTCTCAAAACCATTTCATCAAACTAAAAGCCCTCTTAGATTTATTAAATAGAGCCGAAATAAAACGGTAGAGATTTGGGGTTTGTTAGGGTGACTAATGTTTTTCTCCCCCCCCCCCCCCAATGATCAACCGTGTGATTGACCTGAACAACCAAATGCAGAGCAAAATGGATCGAAACAACGTATATGATTAAATAACCAAAACAAATATAACCATACGAGACACGACTACGATAGTAATAATTAGTAGCACAAATAATGACCCCGAGAGTTATGTGTTCCACTATTCATAGTGTAACTAGTCCACAAATACGGGAAGAGGGTTGTACTTCATATATCGAACAAGAATTACAAATAAATATCTAATGAAATTGCTAACGACAATAATTATATTAACTTCACCAAAAACATCGATCATATTGTGCCAAACTCCCCAAAGTTAGGTTGATTAACGTACAAGTATTATTGCTAAATGGTAATGAGTCGGGGAGAGAAATATGAAGCGGAAATTAAAGAAAGGATCATCAAACATGCCTATTCTTCTTTCCCGAAACCCTTCTCAAGACATCGGTCTACTAATATATATGAGCTCTTTATGCTATAACACGAACTTTCAACAATGATTGTTACAACTATCTTTTCTTGTATTTCTTAACTAGAAATGTGTGGAAATATCTTATAAATAAGAATATTAAATAAAAATACAAATAATTCCTAAATCAATCTCCCTTTTGGATGAGTGTTTAAAAGATGTGAAAAGAGAAAATAGTTTTGAATGCTTGAAAAAGATTTTAGAGATATAATCAAATGTGGATGTAAAATGAGTCTTCAAAATATTTATTTGAACACAAAGGGAAAACTTTTGTCCCCGCAAGTACGATAGTTTGTAAGATAATGTATGAATGTCCGTACTAAAAGATTTCAGAGAAGTGTTTGATTGTTACTCGTTTGAAAGTAGGCGTGAGAATGGAGCGGGGACCTCAATCCTCATCTCCGTCTCCGATCCCTCATCTATGTAAGTTATTTTAAATCAAATATGTGAGACATCACACATGTTTAAATTTCACAAATTTTCAATAAACCTAAAATCAAAAAGAATTTAATTTAATACGGAAAAAAAAATCATAACCTAAAATCAAAAAGAATTTAATTTAATACGGAAAAAAAATCATAACATCATATGATAATTAATAAGTTAAAACCAAAAGAAATTCAATTTAACCAAAAAAAAAAAAAGACTTAATGGGACGCGTACCAAAACATATCGAGTAATATTTAAAACTATATTGAGCAATATCTAAAACATATCAAGTAATTGATATTTTGACTTGACATCCAAAATATTACATATTACCGTCTAACAAATAACAATTTTAGATTCTAAACCTAGTTAAAAATAAGAAATTATGAATTACGGATTTAGTTGAAATGATAATATATATTTTATTTATTAATTAATATATATTACGGTACGGGGCAGGCGGAGAGTGCGATACACATCCCTGGATTGAGACAAACAGGAATTCTCCACTACTAAAAAATCTGGTTTTTCCGACGGCAAAATCCGTCGGAAAAACAACTTTCCGACGGATTTTGCCATCAGAAAAACCCCCGCCGCTAAATGCATTTTCCGACGGAATTTCCGACGGATTTGTATTTTCCGATGAAAAAATCCGTCGGAAATCCGTCGTGCAATTTTATAATATGTTATCCATTACCCGGGTTAATTAGAAGTAATATAAAATGAGATTAGATTCACCGACGGAATTTCCGTCGGTAAACTTTTTCCATTTTCTTCCAAAATAATAACCGGTTTTTATTTCAAAAATAAAAAGCGACGGATTTCCGACGGAAATTCCGTCGGTAATTATTATTTAAATTTTTTTCTAATTTAAAATATGAAAATAATTTTTTTATTTTTAATGGACGGAAAATATTTACCGACGGATTTTCCGTCGGAAAATCAGCCAGAATTTTTTTAAATAAAACTTATATCTAATTATTTACCGAATAATTTTCCACAAAAAATCCGTCGGAAATTTAACTGGTACAGGAAAAAAAACCAAAAAACCCAAAAAACCAAAATATAAAATCCTAAAATATAAAGATCATGTCATTAAATACAAATATACAATACACAAATATGTCATAAATACCTAATATGATTATCCGRACGAAATAATATACATATATAAATTCGATTGATGACGTTAGTTTATAAATACACAATATCAAATCTATTGCGGCGGGGTCGGCGGAAACTGTTGAGATTGTATAAACCTCTTCATCATATCCATCATGTCTGCATGCTTTTTCTTCCGGATCTCATCTTCCCTGTTTCGGATCTCTTCTCGACGAAGAAGTTCCTCAATCTCCTTCTGTCGGATTTCATCTCGAGTGCACATTTCTTGAATTTGGGACTGTAAGTTGTTAATTAACTACAAATAAAATAAAACGTTAAAATTTCTAATAAGAAGTATAAATGAAATAAATAAACATCAAAGGTTTAAGATGTACACACCTCACTATCTACATTAGGCGATCCACTCGAGTTTGCTTGTGAGGATGTCCCGGTCAAGACCTATTAGCTCCATTAAAGCCTAGTTGAACCAAATAGTACCTGTTAAAGTCCATTAAGATCCATTAAAGCCCAGTTGAACCGAATAAAGCTCAATAGATTCATTAAATCTCAATTGAATCGAATAAGACCTATTAGCTCCATTAAAGCCTAGTTGAACCAAAAGTACCTGTTAAAGTTCACTAAGATCCATTAAAGCTCAGTTGAACCGAATAAAGCTTCATATACTCGTTAATGCGCAATTTAACCGAATAAAGCCCAGTAGTACCCGTTAAATCCTAATTGAACCCGTTAATACCCAATTCAACTGAATAAGACCCAATAGGTCCATTAAAGCCTAATAGATCTATTAAAGTCCACTAAGATCCATTAAAGTCTAGTAATACCCTTTAAAACCCAGTTGAACCGACTAAAACCCAATAATACCCGTTAAAGCCCATTAATATCCGTAAATGCCCAATTGAACCAAATAAGACCTATTAGCTCCATTAAAGCCTAGTTGAACAAAATAGTACTTGTTAAAGTCCACTAAGATCCATTAAAGTCTAATTGAACTGAATAAGTTTAATAGTACCCGTTAAAGCTCAGTTGAACGAAATCAGACTCAATAGATCTATTAAAGCCCAATTTATTCATTAAAACCCAATTGAACCAAATAAGGCCCAATTAGTACCTGTTAATACCAAATTGAACCGAATAAGACCTAATAGCTCCATTAAAACCTATTTGAACTAAAAAAATTCACTAAGATCCATTAAATTCCACCAAAACCCAATAATATATATAAAAGTCCAATTGAACCGAACAAAGCCAATAGATCCATTAAATGTAACTGAACATACAACTACCCCGTTGGTAATATTTAATAAAAAAATTATAATAACTTAAACCTGGAAATAATTAAAATTAAACCAATTTTTCTTTGAAATTTCCGACGGATTTCCGACGGAATTTAATTTTTATTTAAAAAAAATTAAATTCCGTCGGAAATTTCAAAGAAAAATTGGTTTTTTATTTTTTTCCTAACAAAAAATATATAAAGGTTTAAAATTTCCGACGGAATTTAATTTTTATTTTAATTTTTTTAAATAAAAATTAAATTCCGTCATAAGATATATATATATATATATATATATATATATATAGGTTTAAACTTTCCGACGGATTTCTTACAGAATTTAATTTTAATTTGAAAAAAATAAAATTCCGTCAGAAATTTCAAAGAAAAATTGGTTTTTTATTTTTTTCCTAACAAAATATATATAAAGGTTTAAAATTTTCAATGGATTTCCGACGAAATTTAATTTTTTTAAATAAAAATTAAATTCCATCGGAAATTTTAAAAGGTAAAATGTTTATTTTTTATTTTTTTCCTAACAAAATATATATAGGTTTACAATTTCCGACGGATTTCTGACGGAATTTAATTTTTATTTAAAAAAAATTAAATTCCGTCAATAATCTGTCGGAAATTTCAAAGAAAATTGGTTTTTTATTTTTTTTTCCTAACAAAATATATATGAAGGTTTAAAATTTCCGACGGAATTTAAATTTTTTAAATTAAAATTAAATTCCGTCGGAAATTTTAAAAAAATGTTTTTTTTATTTTTTTTCCTAACAAGAGATAGATAGATAGATAGATAGATAGATAGATAGATATATATATATATATATATATATATATAGAGGTTTAAAATTTCAGAACGGAATTCTGACGGAATTTAATTTTTATTTTAAAAAAATCAAATTCCGTCCGAAATCCGTCGGAAATTTCAAAGAAAAATTGGTTTTTTTATTTTTTTCCTAACAAAATATATATAAAGGTTTAAAATTTCCGACGGATTTTCGACGGAATTTATTTTTTTTAAATAAAAATTAAATTCCATCGGAAAGTTTAAAGAATTTTTTTCCTAACAAATATATATATATATATATATATATATTCTTTTTTTTTAATTAGCGTTAATCAAAACAATTTCCGACGGATTTTCGATGGAATTCGATTTGTTTTTATTAAAAATTAAATTTCGTCGGAAATCCGTCAGAAATTGTTTTTGATTAACGCTAATTAATTTATTTAAATAAATTAGGCAAATTTTGCGACGGATTTCTGACGGATTTGTGACAGTTTTGAATGAGTATAAAATYCGTCACAAATCCGTTGAAAAACCGTTTTAAATAATTTTAATTTTTTCCAAAAAATTTAGTGGGGGATTTGTTGGAGATCTGTGGCGAATATGAATAAAAGTTGACTTTATTTGACTTTTTTGGGATCCGTCGGGAATATTTCCGACGGAAATTCCGCCAGAAAAATCCGTCGGTGATACCCTTTTTTTAGTAGTGCTCGTCCCCGTCCTCATCCCCATCCTCATCCCGGGTTCAGAGGGGAACTCCCGTCCTCAACCGAAATGAGTGGACTGGGTTTCCCAATGAGTCAGAACCATTCTCATGCCTATTTGAAAGAAATGTCAACAAAGGTGAGTAGTACATAAATCCAAATGAACAACGCCAAACGTCCATACAACAACATCTCACAACTTCTCTCCACTAGATACATAAGGTTTTACTAGCAAGATGCAAACTAAACTCAAAAGCATCTACAATGGTTGTTTTCTATTGGTTATTCATGAGGTTCTCACAAGTTTCATAGTTTATAACTGATAATTTATAAAATATATATGAATTAGAATTAGAATTAAAATTAATTTAATAATAGATAATTAATAAATATGAAAAAGAAAGTGCTATGTTGTTTTCCTGTGTAAATGTTTGGTAAACGGTCTTGCAGACTCTTATTTTATCATTTTAGCATTGATGTGGCAAAAAAAACCAGTTTAAGGTTCTTATAAATCACTTCATTATGGATGTTCTCATACTTGATAAAGGTCATGCTTGGTTAGCCAAAGAAGATTAAGATGGCTTATAAGTTAATTTTTAAAAAAGCTATTTCTAGCTAACCAAAAATAACCTTATTTTCAGAGTATTTTATATTATCATTTAACTAACTTATCATTTATTTTCAGAGTATTTTATATTGTCCCAGCCCGATGGGACCGATATGATGATAACCGGGTATAGATTGGTCTTAGAAATTTTTTATAAGGATCAAAACCGATGCACCCTAATGGAACTAGAAATTTCAAATTTAAACTTTGGTATATAGGGCATTGGGCAAGAACAAGAAGCCATAATAGTTGGGCTTGGGCCTCATGGATGAAATTAAATATAAGACCAGCCCAGAATATAAACCTTGGGCCGGATGTATGAAAATAAATATACGCCCAGCCCAGAGTATAAACCTCCCTCCCTGATTGCAATACCCTAAAACCCTTCTCTCTCGGCATCCTGCAATTCTCTACCTGCAGAGACAAAATCACTGGTGGTTGTCGAAGGAGAGCTCAAGCGAGCTGCTACAATGGTGAAAGTGTCGAGAGTTGCAAGTAACAATGACAGTGCAAATAAGAAGAAGAAGAATAAGAAGAAGATAAATCCCAACGCCATAGCCATGAAAGTCAAAGCTCCAGCGGCAAAACCTAACCCCTTTGAAACCATTTGGTCTCGTCGCAAATTTGATATCCTTGGCAAGAAACGCAAAGGAGAGGAACGCCGTATTGGCCTCGCACGCACCCTCGCTATTGAGAAGGCAATAATCTCTATCTCTAGACATATGATCCCGCTGCAGATGATCTTTGTTGCTTAATATTCTTTCGCTTTCGGAGAAAGAGACCTTGCCGTTTCACGGAGATTTTAATTCACGAACGATTAGTTTTTTTTTTTTTTTTTAACTTATTGAGAAAAACTGATCGATGTGAATTAATATCTTTGTTGCATAATAACCAATTGCATTGCAGATTTGTTTTTTCTTTTGAAAAATGATAGGTTATAGTACTTCCCAAAACCAAAATTACATTCTAATTTGAGAGTATCACCTCAAATTTACCAACCGAATTGCATTTTTTAATCATATCGTTGTGAGCTACGGAATGTGGACTCTAATTCTTGTGGAAGATAGTTCGTTGGAAGATATATGACATGTTCTATTGACTTGTCTCCTTTCTTTTATCTGCTGATGCAAAATTTTCTTCTACTTGTATAAAACATTTACTATAGCTTAGGTTTGTGAAGCTTGAAATGTAAATTTGATTTGTTTGTTATGTGGCAAAAAGTACAGAGGAAGAAAACATTGCTGAAAGATTACGAGCAGAGTGGTAAGTCATCAGTGTTTGTGGATAAGCGAATTGGAGAGCAAAATGAGGAGCTTGGCGAGTTTGATAAGGCCATTCTCAGATCTCAAAGAGAAATGCGGGTAATTGTTTTTCTAATTGGATATTCATATTTCTTTTTATTTTATTTGATTATACAGAAATTTATAGAAGATAGATGGAAATATTCTTGTTACTTGGCTATAGGCTGAAATTGACAGCTTAGATGCGTTTTGGTTTGTATCATTTTTAATAGAATCATAAATTATGCAACATTTGACTTGTCGGAAATTAGTGTGCTTTATTAATAGGATTATGCACTTGGTGGTTATGGAGCAACTGAGTTTTGGGGAAAGAAAGGACAAACCAGTTTTTCATTTGTTAAGATTCCTGAATTCAAGTTACTGTTAGGACTTATATGTTGGTCAAAGATTGTTTTTTTGATTTAATCCAGTAGGTCCTAGTTTTCAGGAGTTTTTTGGTATCTTCCTTATTTGTTGCTTTTTCAGTTTTGCATTCTGTTTTGTATTCGGCTATAAAAGCCACAGAAGCTTGCTTTAATAAATCATCCCCTTCCATCAATTTCTTTGTGTGGTTTTTAAGTTTCCTTCATAACATTATATTCACTTTGTCAGAACGTAAACATAAACAATACATATAGGGATTATAAATAACAATGAATTGAACATTGAGTTGAGATTTAGATATATCTCCTTAAGAAAAAATCATCCCGTATTTGCCGGTGGAATCAGATGACGATATGTCTCCCAGGATACAACAACGTATACGCACCTTCGTCAATCGCGGCACCGATATGTGAAGTTCTTCGAACTCGATTATGTGCAACTCTCCTTTAACAATAGGACAACAACCAAAACATAATGCAGAAAAGCAGAGAAGAGAATCATACGTATAAAATGGAGGGAAAAAACACAAAAAATTACGGAGGGAAAATGCAGTATAAATAAGTGCCAAAACAGTTAAAAAGAAACCGACACAAAACTGTCAACCAACCAAAACTAAAATAATTTCCATTTAAATTAAAAAAAAAATATCCAACAATCCCCCACATAACTGGAAATTACAATGAAAACTAAAGACACTACTACAAAAGGAGAGGACAATGGAGAAGTTCTGCTTTGGGAATGATAGCAATTTTTCAACCTTAGTGAATAATCATCGAATTTACTCGGCTAGGTAGTATCATGATGTCTTGAACTACCCAGACTTCAATGTAAATCTAGACAACAACTAACACACAAAACATCTCCTCACATATTGAGTTCTATGGTTGTGTTCATTTCGGCCTTGAACAACCCTGGTTATTCATGAGTGAACTTGGAGAATGTAGCCTCTCCTCATTCGCCTAGAAACGGCCTCATTTCACACTCACTAGGCGATTTCTTATAAGGAGTATTCCTGCTATACCCCACTTATATTTCAAAGCTATAAGAATCGTTAAAAGCTTAGCTTATCCTCGCCATGCAGTTAACACTGTTTATCATCCTAAGAATGGGTTAGAGATTTAAATCTCACAATGTTGTCGTCGATTCAACTCGATTTGGTTGTCCCTTGGAACCTATTTCTTGGGATCTCCAATCTATTAGGTGGGGTTGCCATCAAGTTCCATCTTTCGTCATAGGCTTTAAAGTTTAAACCCATTCCTCTTGATGATTTGACAACTTTTTCACGTGACAAACCTTTTGTAAATGGATCCGCTAGATTGTCAGCTGACTTTACATAGTCAATAGAAATAATTCCATTTGTGAGCAGTTGTCTTATAGTTTTGTGTCGTCTTCGGATATGACGAGACTTATCGTTATACATACAACTTAATGCTCTCAATATTGCTGATTGATTATGGCAATGAATACATATGGCAAGCATGGGCTTTGGCCACATAGGTATATCTTCTAAAAAGTTTCGAAGCCACTCTGCCTCTTCACCCGCTTTATCTAAAGCAATAAATTCAGATTTCATTGTTGATCTAGCCAACAAAGTTTGTTTGGTAGATTTCCAGGATACAGCTGCACCACCAAGACAAAATACATAACCACTAGTTGATTTCGACTTCTTGGCGACTGATATCTAGTTGGCATCACTGTGACCTTCCAATACTGCTGGATATTTTCTATAGTGTAACCCATAACTTTGAGTATGACGTAAATAATTCAACACTTTAGTTATGCCTTTCCAATGATTACGTCCTGGATTACTTGTATAACGACCAAGTATATTCACAACATGTGCCATATTCGGTCTGGTACAATTAGTAATATACATTAAACTTCCAATTACTCTAGCATATTCTAATTGTAATATATTTTCACCGGTATTTTTACAAAGATGAAGATTGACATCTTCAGGACTCTTGGCAATTCCACTTGAATAATTCTTAAAACGTTCAAGTATTTTATTTGCATAATGTGATTGAGTTAAAGTATAACCTTCAGTGGTTTTTGTAACTTTAACTCCTAATATAACATCTGCAATGCCCATATATTTCATATCAAACTTACTACTAAGCATCTTCTTAGTAGCTTTGATGATAGCATCATTACTGCCAATAACGAGCATATCATCAACATATAGACAAACCAACACATATTCTTTTGGAGTGTCTTTGATGTAAACACATTTATCACTTTCATTTATTTTAAAACCATCCAACGTCATTGCTTTGTCAAATTTTTCATGCCATTGCTTAGGAGCTTGTTTTAATCTATACAAGGATTTTACAAGCCTACAAACCTTGTTTTCTTTCCCAGGAACAACATATCCTTCAGACTGGGACATATATATTTCCTCTTCTAAATCCCCATTTAGGAAAGCTGTTTTAACATCCATTTGGTGTATATCAAGATTGTGTAAAGCTGCAATAGCTATCAACATTCTAATTGATGTTATTCTCGTCATCGGAGAATAAGTGTCAAAGAAATCTAGACCTTCTTGTTGCTTAAATCCTTCAACTACAAGTCTGACTTTATATTTGTCAATTGAACCATCCGTTTTCAATTTTCGTTTGAAAATCCATTTGCATCCCAATGGTTTACTACCGGGAGGTAGATCAACTAACTCCCACGTATGGTTTTGCATAATGGAGTCTACTTCACTTTTCATTGCTTCCTTCCACAAAGGAGCATCAGGCATAGACATAGCTTCCATAAACGTTTGCGAATCATTTTCTAACAATAGAGTAGTTTGAAAATCAGGTCCAAATGATTTGGATATTCTAAACCATTTACTATGTCTAGGCTTGTCCATTTCACTAACCGAATTTTCAGAATTTTCAATCAATTTACTCAAATTTTCTTGATGTCTCGTGTGTTTGGAGTATGATGTATCTTTATATGGAATACATGCTCAAAAAGGAGGCATTTGTCGATTCCATTATTGTATTTTCATGAATATCTGGTATATCTGATTTGTATACCAAGAATCGGTAAGCTGAACTATTTTGCACGTACCCTATGAAAATACAATCAACGGTTTTAGGTCCAATGACAACCCGTTTGGGATTTGGAACCACCACTTTTGCCAAGCATCCCCATACTTTCATATATTTATATGAAGGTAATCGACCATTCCATAATTCATATGGAGTTTTTCCAATTTTCTTATGAGGTATTTTGTCGAGAATATAGTTAGCGGATAGAAGGGCTTCCCCCCACATGTTTTGGGGTATCCCGAAATCTAATAACAAGACATTCATCATTTCATTTGGAGTTCTATTTTTACGTTCGGCAGTACCATTCGATTGTGGCGAATAAGGAGCGGTAGTTTGATTTGGTCTAAGTAAAGGAAATGTTTCTTATAGTTTGGCTGTCAAGTCTCTGTCGTATATTTTGTAGGGCCGGGCGGGCCAATGTGGAATCATATGGTGTCCCATGCCACTGCTTTCTCGTTCTGTCGTAATAGGAAAAAAATAACATTTCTTAAGGGTGCCACTTTAATATTTCGTTATGTGTCTTATATTTCTCAAAACTTAACTTGTGACAAAAGTATGTTATGGCTGAAATGGTTTAGGTTGTCAGATTAAAGTTTTTCTTTGAAAAGGCTAGGGTTCAAATCCCGTTTTTAATTTTGGGTTTCTATAGCTTTTGTGCAAAATTGGAGGAAAGCGGCAATAAGAGGGGTCATACCCATGACCTTCACTTGCAAAAGCAAGAAACTAGCCAGACTTATCTAATATGAATTTTGTGGAAATTTTCTATTGGTTTCACCCTTATGGTCAATTTGTGCCACCATTTGAAAATTTTCTAGGTCGGTCTCTGTATTTTTGTCCATTTCGGGTAAAAAAGTAGTACTTGTTTTGTTTATTGTATTATATATTTTTGATTAATTTGTCTATAGTGATTGCTAATTTGTTTATCATATTTCTTATAGGTGAAACTTAGCAAGAAAAGCAAGTATAATTTATCTGATGGGGAAGAGGACGAGTTTGATATTGAAGATGGCAGTTTGTATCCTGAAAGGGATGATTTCGAGGATGAGGTACCATTTGACGAGGAGGAAGATGGGGAGGTTACAGAGGCTGAGAGTAAGTTTGTTGTTTGTTTACTTAAATAGGAATTAAATAACAGTTTGAAACTTGATGTGCACTTTTCATGATAAAAAAGTTAAGATTGCAACAGAAGATAGAATGGCCTGATTTAAAGCTATGAAGTTTCATAATTTAGGTGGTGAACGCTGGGCTTTCAAACATAACTTTCAGTTCAGTTAGAGTAATGTTTTCACTCAAAAAGATACAACTTTTAATAGAAGGCTTAATGATATTGTGTGCATTTTGTGGTGACCGTATGCATATGGGAACTCTTGTAAGGATCAACGTTATACAGCAGAGACATGGTTCTTGTGAATATCGTATAGAATAGATGATATTTGCGTTGGACAACTGTAGCAAATAATCTACACCAAAGCTTTGACATTCTACTAGAACATGGTTTTTTAAGTTATTCCAGTGTAGTGCTACTACTTTATTTGTTTCAATCAATTGTCATCCTATGACCATTGTAGGCCAGTGTCCATTTTAAAGGCCTACATAATTCTATGAAGCCATACAAGTAATTTAGCATTAAGAGTAGAAGGGATAATCGTAGGCGCTTGACAACTTACATTGGTTGGCCTCTTTATACAGCATTTTATTTTTGCACATGCATTAATCTTTCTCCTTTTCATTGGCATTGAGGGGGTATGGGAAGAGTCACACCTATGTATGAAACCTTGACGAACAATCTAACCCATAACTTCTGATGTAGCATTTGACTTGTTCAGAACGTTATGTGCTTCATGTGCTGATTGTTGTGTATTTTTGTATCTAGACAAGAATGTGATATAGTTATTCTGGAATTATATGGATAATGGATTAAATAAGTTGCATATTGGAACTTCTTATTAGTGATTTTGTAAAAATAAATTACAAGAAGTTGCCAGTTGCAGACTCTTGGGAATTGATTTTAAATGATGCAGTTGAGAGAATAATGTTCGGCGAATATTATTACATTATAGCTATCCATACACCTTAAATGGAAAGCGCATTGCGATGTTTCAGGTCCTAGATGTCCTAATGCTCCCACTGATGGGATATGTTACTGTATGGAAAGCTTTCAGTTATTTTATGGAAAAGAAGATATTTTGTTATTTTTAACCGCGATGAATCTAAACCGTCACCCAACTAAAAAAAGGGTATGCAACACCCTCTGGAGCGTCTCCCACCGCACCAGTCCTGCGGTCATCATGGGGGGAGAGAAATTGCATTCTCCCTAGCAACAGTCAGTTGATGCCCTGGATCGAAACCATTAAACAAAGATCTCTCATTTGATTACCTACCCCTTACCGCTAGGGCACATCAGCGGTGATAAATAAAGCCCTTGGCATGAGGTAGGAATATAAAGTTGTATCTAAGAACCCAAGTTGAGGAGTTGATGCATACCTTTCATTAATTTAAGGAGTGGATGTTTGAAGCATACCATGAAAGTAGGGAGATTATAGTTATATATTTCCTCTATTTCTTACGCATATGTTTGAGTCTGATAATTTTCTTGCCTTCTCAAATTTTATGAGTTGCTCTGGCTCGAGTTGTATTTTATCTGAAGTGTCTTCTGATGTAGAAAGTGTGTTGAAGGAGGCCATTTATGTCCTTGGGAACCCTGGGGAGTTTACCTCCTTATGTGTCGAAACCAGAACACAAACCGAGCAGAAATGCAAAAACACATCCCTAACCTAGAGTTCTAGACTGCCAGCTTGCCACCCCAACAACCTCTCTAACTCCCTCCTGCCCATCCACTCTAGCTACAAGTCCCTACATCTAGCCTACTACCCTATTATGTCGAGATGTGAATTGCACTAATTGGAGATGGTTGATATTTTTGTCTTATTGACGTGTCCAGATTTTAAATTGCACCCGTTACTTGGGGAATGTGATGATTTTTTTTAAAAACCCCATCAAATGATCACACTTTTAATCATCTGTATCACTAACACATGATTTTTTGCCTCTTTTTTGTTCTTCATTATCAAAGAAGTTAAAGAACAAACATATTATTTGATTAGGCTCCAAAGGAAGAGGAGGGGTTTTCACTCCTGAAGTTTGTCACTTGGCTATTTTGAAGCACTGACCATATGAAAAAATTGGGGATGCTGCCTTGTTTTTTAGTGTTAGATTGTTTTCGCATACATATGTGGGACAATACTTTACTTGTGAGAGAAAATGCATGCTTTAGTGGATTGATTTGGAAAGATTAACTAGTTGCTTGGTATCTGAAACCTTTTTTCTTATCTTTGTTTGCTTTAACATAATTCTCACTTTTTACAGAGAGGTCTGTCATCTTAAAACAGCTTAGTGCCCATGGCACCCCTGGTGCTCATGCAACGGGAATCGAAGGAGAAGAAAATGTGAGATGAGTTAAATTTCTTGAATGTTGATGTTTCATATCTGCATGTGTTTCACTTTTAAGCTATTGTTTCTTAGTCCTTGTTACTAAACACCAATTCTCTCCCAATTATGTATCTACTGCTGGATGCACACATGATAGCTGTAGATAAGATAAATGCACAATTCTCTGCAAAGCCAAAAATTGCTTTTGTGTGTTGTGCCTTCACACAGCCATCTCCTTTTGTATTTTCACTTTCTATAATTCTATTTACTTTGGTATTGGATCAGTGTTTGTGAAATGCCTTTGCTATGTCTCAACATATATTCCTTGTGCCTCACATACTGTGGTTCATTTTACTTTTATTTCTAGGCTGTAGGACATAGATACCTTGGAACCAAACTTGGTAATAGGCTGCACTAGCCTTTCTCTTGTATTAGTTTGAGATGTTTGACACCTTTAATATTTTCTCCTGGGTTTTTTTGTTGATACAGTGTCTTCTTTATTGCAGAGGCAGAAGACTAAAAAGGAGGTGTATGACGAGATAATATCCAAGAGCAAATTTTTCAAGGTGGTGATCATATAACTACTTTATGTTATTTTTTGAGCATTCTTTGATGGTTATTACTAATTTTTGTGCATAACATGGTTTCTATCCTTCCATTGCTGATATACTGCCAGGCGGAGAAAGCTAAGGACAAGGAAGAAAATGACCTGTTGATCAAAAAATTGGATGAACAATTTACGTCTGTGCAGTCCTCTTTGGCCCAACCTAACCAAATAAATGTTGTGAAAGATGTTACGAGCAAGAGCATTAATCATGTTATTTCCAGTAAAGTTGAACCTGATCAGGTATGATTTATCTCTGTAGATTTACACTTGCTAATTCTGAACATCTGGTCTTAGATTGGTAAATAGCTTGATTTATGAGGTGTTGCATCTAATTTCTCGAGTTTTGGCAGATGTCCATTTGATTTTTCACATTAAGAAGGCATTCTTTTTATGCTCTTTATTGGTTGTTAGTTTAAAATACGTAAATATGTTGTACACTCTGCAATAAGATATACCAGTAAATGCAAGCCTTTTTTAGCAGTTGTAGTTTTTTTGCATTAGATTTATCATTTAAAATACAATCAATGACTTGTAGGAGAAAGCTGATGCTTATGATAAACTACTCAATGAAATGGTGCTGGATATGCGTGCCCGTCCATCAAATAGGACAAAAACTCCTGAAGAACTTGCACAAGATGAAAAAGAGCGACTAGAGCAATTGGAGGTATGTTAATGTTCTTTTTCTTGTCCAAGTATGATGATTGGTTCAACTCATTGTATTGATTGTGGTTCTCACCATCCCCAGCGTGGTTTAGACAGAAGGCTGTCATCCTTTCTTGTCCCACCTATGTAAAGAACAGCAATTCTATAATAAGAATCAATTGCGGTCCTTTGCTTGTGACTGCTTGGCATTGGGTTTAAGAACCTTTTTTTGCTAATCTTTTATTCTACAAAGCCCACAATAGATATGAATCATGTAGTCATTATTCTGATTTATTATTACATAATCAAAAAAGAGCGCAATAGCTCTCTAGAAGTGTTAATGTTCCTTGTCCAAGTCCAATGATTGGTTCAACTCTCCGTATCTATTACAGTTCTCACTACCCCCATTGTGGTTCTTATTCTTTCTAGTTAATAATGTTTAGAAGCTTTCGGAGTATGTTGCATACATGACCTCCAGATGCTTCTGTAATTATGCCATCATTGAACTTACCTAAGTCCATCATATAGGTTCTTCTGTTGGTATTTAAGGGGTCCCTTGGATAGAAATGATGTATCCGATTGTCCGCGAGGAGATGGTTGCTATGCATGTATTACACATTGAGCATTGCAGTGAATACATAGTGTATTCCAGGATCTAGGCTTCCTAGTTTTTCTTGTATTCATTTCATTTGTCATTTTAATCCATCATATTGTTGTCTATAAACAAAATGGAAATACAAATAATTAAGAGAGTAGGCAATTGAGCAAAATATAAGAAGATAATTATCACTCCCACTTTCGTGGTGAGTCGTTTTTTTATAATTAGGTACTTTGCTATGATTTTCCCTTGAACAACAAACCACATATTTTGGCAACTAAGAATTAAAAGTGTGTGGGTAAAGTGGAATGTTGTGAAATTCTGTTATGGAATGTACTATGTGGAATAATTGTTTTTACCATGATGCGACATATAAAACAAAAAGTGCATAGTATCATCTGTCATGGTCGGACTTCTATTACATAATTGTCCAGAATTCTCCATTGTATTCTAAAACAATATCTTGTACATGGTGGTTCATGATTGCAGGAAGAGCGGCAGAAAAGGATGCATGCTGCTGATGACACAAGCGATGAGGATAATGATGATGATCAGGGAAATTCTGCCTCCAAGAAGCTGACTTCTATTTCTGGGGATGATCTTGGAGATTCCTTTGCTATTGATGAACCAAAAACCAAATTGGCCTGGATTGAACAGATGTTGAGAAAAGAAAATGAAATTGATGTTGATAGCGATGATGGTGAATCATCCGATGATGGTGATGATGATGATGGAGAGGAAGAAGATGATGATGAAGAGGGAGATGACTTGGCAAGTGACATGCCACAATCTCTAAAAGACTGGGAACAAAGTGATGATGATGATGATGATGATGATGACACCGACTTGGAGGAAAAAGCAGGAGAGGATGATGGTGTGAACTTGGAGGTAAAACCAAGGGACCATAAACAGGCTGTAAATACTAATGAACATGTGGATAATTTAGATGCTGAGAAAAAGGTTGCAAAGGTCAAACTTCCTGGGCCTCTACAAGGAGACCTTCCATATACAATTGAAGCTCCAAAAACCATGGATGACTTGTCTTCATTGTTGGAAAATCGTTCTGATAGCGAAATCATTGAAGCAATCAGGCGAATTCGTGCATTCAATGCAATCAAAGTTGCAGCAGAAAATCGGAAGAAAATCCAAGTATGATCTGCTACTGGTTTTAAGTTCATGTTTTGTATTGCATATCACTTGATTGACCTGAAGTGTCTTCTTAACTGGTATATGCATACAAATACAGTATAATATTATACATGAGGTAGTAGGCTTGTGTGATCACATAACATTTAGAGACTAATAGTTCTTTCCTGCCCTATGTGTAGTTTTCCATCTCACAAATCCCATTTCCCCTAATCTTGTTCTTGCTCATCATAGAAGTACGTAATTAATAAAGTAAAAGGATGCTGTTTACAAAAAGAAAAAAACAAAGTAAAAGGATATATTTTGAGGACATCTGGCATCGGCTAATGAGAGTTTGGCACACATATGGGAAACATATAAACAAAAAGTTTACTTTTAGGACAAGTGTCATTTTTTTCACCTTAGGCTTACTCTTTGTTCCAACTTTAACAAAATAATGATGGAATGAGTAGTCGAATAAATGTTTTCTTAAAGTGTGGTATTTATTTATTATTTCAGACTAGTTATTTGGTTATGTTGACATGTTAAAAAATAGTTGAAACTTGGTTTATGTAAATGCTTCTTTCAACTTCACATACTCATCAGTCATCATAATCAGTACTGATGTATGAAAATGCTCCTTTTTGCTTTTCTTTTTCAGGTATTCTATGGCCTACTACTGCAGTATTTTTCTGTTTCAGCAAATAAAAAGCCATTAAATTTTAGGTTGTTAAACTTACTTGTCAAGCCATTAATGGAAATGAGTATAGAAATCCCGTACTTTGCTGCCATTTGTGCTCGTCAGCGACTACTTCGAACTCGATCACTTTTTGCAGAGGATATCAAGAATTCAGGTTTATTTCATACATCTTTTCCATTTTGGATTTTTACTGCAATATCACATTAGTCTTCTTTTACTTTTGTTGCAGAAAAAAGCTGTTGGCCCTCTATGAAGACATTATTTCTCCTAAGGCTCTGGTCCATGATATTTCCTTGCTCAGATTTTCGTCATGTTGTTATGACCCCTGCAATATTATTGATGTGTGAATATCTGACACGATGCCCCATTATATCTGGCCGTGATGTGGCGATTGGCTCTTTCTTATGCTCTATGGTTCTTTCTGTAAGTGCTTTTCAATCCACTCTCAGGATAAGGAGCTGTTTATGCTAACTGTATTCTGAAGATAGCTTCCAAATATGATTATTCATTGTTGCCTTGCAACTCTATAGTATGAGTACTGCACTCAAGACCATCGATTTACCATAATACCACAAAGGATAAATAAGCATTAAAAGGATTAGGTTAGGTTAAAACCTAGTTTGTGGCAATAAATTTTTATATAAATGCATAGAGAATTACTTTCAAACCCCCTACATTATGGCATTAACTTTAAAGTGACCTCTAATTGGCGGAAGGACTTTTCAGGAGCCATAAAAGACTAAATTTCCCCTTCCAACAGATGGCTGCAACTGCGAGTGACAAAATAAATAACACTAATTTCTATAGTTTGTCATATAATTCTACAAAGGGGTAAGTGATATCAAGAATTTGGTTATCTCTTGATGATATAATCTATTCTTTTTATTCAGGAATACTATTTTGGATGCCTTCTTGGGTGGTTGTTGTGCTTTGATCATTTGTTGCTGATATTTATAACAATAGTGTACCTTTTGCCTTTCTTGCTTCCATAGTAAATGATTATGGTCTTACTATATAGGTCTGCAAGCAGTCAAGAAAATTCTGCCCCGAGGCCTTGGTGTTTCTGCGGACCTTGTTAGTGGCAGCTTTGGACAAAAAGTCTGAACCATCTCAAGACTCTGAGGTTTGTTTCACATGTCTCTTAGATCTGAAACAAATATTTGAACATGTTGATAAGAGAGATGCTTGTATTGTTGCTAACTTACAAAGTAAACCCTGTCGCAGTTATATCACCTAATGGAATTAAAAGCCCCAAAGCCTCTGCTGCATATACATGGTGCCGTAGATGAAATGAAGCCTCTGGATTTCCTTACGTTAATGGACTTACCAGATGACTGCCTTTATTTTAGTTCTGAAAATTTCAGGTTTGTAGTTCTTGCTGTTTATAGGATAACCGTATTCAGAACTTTGAGTTGGAGTCATTGGAAGATGAGAATGGATATTTAGTCCGGTGTATGTTTGATATGGCTATGTTTTTGTTCATGCACACAGTAAACCACTGGATTATGAACTTCATCTAGAATGAATTGTGAAATCATTTATGCATAGCCAACATTGATATAGAGTTGAGTCTTAATATTTGGGTCAAAATGTAAAATCATTGATACATAGTCATCGTTAATATTGGAGGGTCTCTAGCTCAGTTTTAATATTAACAAAAGATCTTTGAGTTTTAATATAGTCATTGTCAAATTGTTATCATGGTGTAATATAATTTTTGCATTTGTGGTATCATTGTCATTGCAATCTTTAGTGAAATTTGCTTTTATGCAGGGCGAGCATGCTTGTAACAGTAGTTGATACGCTACAAGGATATGCGAACATTTATGAAGAATTTAAATCATTTCCCGAGATATTCTTGCCAATTTCCAATTTACTAGTGGAACTAACAGCACAAGATCACATGCCTGTTGCATTAAAAGATAAACTGAGAGCTACTGCGCAGCAGATAGAGAAGAAAGCTGATGAACATCACATCTTACGTCGACCGTTGCAAATGCGGAAGCAAAAGCCGGTTCCTATTAAGTTACTTAATCCGAAGTTTGAGGAAAAGTAATTCTCTTATGTGATCATTGTCTTGATAACATTTCATAGTGAATGCTCTGCATGTCAATCTGGATTTGGCTTGTTGAACATCAATGATACTTTCTAAACTGACTGGCTGTCTTGTTTGTGGATTGTTTTTGACAGCTTTGTCAGCAATAGAGATTATGATCCTGATCGTCAACGGGCTGAGGATAGAAAGTTAAGGAAACTTGTAAAGCGTGAAGCTAAAGGGGCTGCTCGTGAGCTGCGGAAGGATAATTACTTCTTGGCTGAGGCAAAGGCTAGAGATAAGGCACGCCTAGAAGAAGAAAAGGCCGAGGAGTATGGGAGAGCTAGAGCTTTTCTTCAGGAACAAGAGCATGCATTCAAATCTGGACAACTTGGCAAGAACAAAAAGAGGAGGAAATAAAGTGTTCGTCCTCTGTTGTGTTGTGAATGATTTCTCACCTCAAGAAGTACAGTTATCTACTTCAGGTAAGAGACTTTCTATTATTAGCAAGCTTTTTGAAGCATCTTTATTTCAGTTTTGAGATTGCACAATTGAACAGCAGTTCTTCCAAATTGATTGTCTTCAAATATATTAATGGTTGAACTGAAATAGAACATGTTTTGGTGAAGGACTCATGCTATTAGACTATGAAAAGGATATTTACAAACTGCTAGTTTGGTTGAGATAGCACAATTGAATATATGTAGGTAGTTCTTGCACATCGGTTTCATTTTTTTGTTCTATGAATGGTTGAACCAAAAATAGAACTGGCTTCATTTTAGGACAAATGTTATTAGAATATGAAGAGAATGTGATCTAGGAACTCGGTTTGATCATAGGTTGGTCCAAAGGACGAGAGTTTCCTTTCTCAAATCTGTTCTCAGTTAAAACTTGTAAGAAACATAATATTTTTTCATCTGGTATGTGCTAATTTTTCCCTTATGTGGCCTTCTGTTTTTCCTGAATGTGTGTAATTATGCATGTGTGTGTGTGTCCACTGCACTGGTCTCTAGTCATTTGTTGATATTGTGCTTATGACTCTGGTTTCCATTCTGGTCATCTTCTCGATTTCCATAAACAATAATAAGGTCAACAGAAGTTTGATTGAATAGAAATTATAGCAAAGGCACATTTTACACTGGAATAAAGTGGCAGAATCATGGTTTTGTTGCTTTTTGAATGGTTCTTACTTTTTTGCTACAAGATAAATGGCTTCTCGATTTCTTAGCTCCTGCATGCTTGGATAAAGTGGTGTTTGTCACCCAACAAGAGCTGGTTTGATCAAGGTCGGGTAGCGTACTTTCTATAACAGTATTTGGCTTTGCTTCTGGATTTACAGAGAGAAGTCAGAATAGTATTATTGAATTGGAAATATTATGAATTTTAATAGTAGGGGTGATGGAATTATGAATAGATTTGGACTCATTTTTTTGTCATTAATATACAGTCATCTGCTGCTCTTTTCGACAATGGCCAGTGATATATTTATACACGCATATACATACAAATATTATACATGTAGGTGTGTGTGTGTAGGTGTGTGTACATATACTGCTAAACCTGTGTTCTTGTGCCTGGGTTCCGTAATCTGACATGTTAAATTGTTGACAGGCGGTTGCTGCTGGCATTGCTTCGAAGCTGTACCTTTTACATGACCCACTTCAGTTTTGTTTTATGGATCAGACCTCGGAGGCATGGTATCTCATTTGGAGGTAAATTTGGGTGTATTGTAGTATGAAATAGGTTAAGTTGGGATGAATTTTGGGAACTCTAGCCAAGGTAGATGATAGTTATATGCACATCCACAAGTTTTGACGTTATGCAAATGTAGCTATATACACCGAGTAATGTTATCTGATCATACCTTTTACAGGCACAAAACAAATGTCCTCTATCATTAGGTAGCTGCTGATGGTTATTGATCAGAATTCAGATTGGTTAAAATGACATAATGATGCTACCACAAAGAAGTCTGTATTTCAAGGTATTAAATAGTGTAAGGTGTGACGGCAAGACCAACCCTCAAGCCTTGGAAGCCATAACGAGGTTATGGCAGCAAATCTCTATATCATAAATATATATATATATATTGAATCAGTGATAATAAACAATTTAAATGAAGTTATATATTGAAAACTAACAAATAAGACATTAAAAAAATAAGTAAAATCAAATATCATAGTATTGCACTTTACACCATGATGTCTATCAGGCTTAACGTGGCGTGAGACACAAGCCTTGAGTCGTGGCCCACTATGGTGGATGTTGCGACGAGCCTTCTTGAACATAACTATTTCTTCCAATTTGTCTTTGAAAGAGTATTTTTATGTGTTTTTTGGGTTGCAGACTCTTTGCAAGTACGAAGAGCATATTTTGTAAAATAGTTCAGTGTAAACGTACTACAACTTATTTGTTAAATGGACTAACTCGGTTGGGGATGGTATGTATACTTTATCTCAAAAATTATGAACATCCTCTAATTGTATTTAACGCTAAACAATTCAATTCCATCCCCATATTAAAAAAATATTTAATAAGTAAAACTTTATTAATTTTAATTTCTTTTTTATGTATCGTACATTTTAATTTATTGAATTGTTGTAAAAACTAATTTGAAATTTAAGTCAAAGTGTAACAGTGAAAAGAATGTGTCAATAAAATTGATTTTTATTTTTTACAATCAAAAGATTTGGAAGACGATAGAAGTAAACCGGACAATAAAATCTTGGAGACATCAAGATTGGAAACCCCTATGGTATGGTACAAGATCGAACCATTAGAAGTTGACATTTTTGTTTGTAGGGTCCTTCAAAAAAGGATTACTAGTTTTTCAAAAGTTAAACGAAATAGAAATTCATCTCAACTCGATTCTACGTCCAATCTATAAAGACGCTACCAGAATTTTTGAACATTGGTTATTAGGTTGTGCTTTTTGCTAAAAAAGTTGTGGGAAACTATTTTTAAGTCATGGAATAACAACTGCACAGTTCCATCTTTTATCTCATATCTTCTCTTGTTCGATGGAGGTAACCATGTCGTGGTTTCTTTGAAAGGTTTATGGCAATCAGTCCTTTAGACCACAACTTACATCATATGGAGAAATAGGAACACCCGTGTTTTCAAGGGAGCTGGTTTAAATGAAGATTTATTTGGGTTGGTTCAAACTTGCTCATTTAATTGGATCTTGTCAAGGTTCATCAATTTCTCCAAAAACTGTGTTTCGCAATGCGTTGCAATTTGATCTTTTAGCCTGTTGCTTTAATTCTTATTTTGTTGGCTGTTCTTTGTTGTCTTTCGGTCGTTTTCTCAGTTTTATGAGGTCTTAGGTGGTACTGTTGTTTACATGATTCCTGTGGATCCTCTTGTTTGTTCTTGTTTAATTGTTTTTAATTTTAACTAAGGGAACGTTTATCAAACACTTACTTGGGTAAATACTTACCAAGTTACATTATCTTACCCAATGAATATGATAAGAACCAAGAATCTTACCCGTTAAGAGCGTGACAAGAACCAAGAGTCTTACCTGGTAAGTGAGGACAACGACTCTTACTACGGTAAGCGCTTACCGGGTAAATTGTTGCATACAATGTCGTTTTGATGGACTAAAATCTTATCCACCAAGTAAATAATAATGTTAAATTTTACCGATAAGCGCTTACCGAGTAAGCGTTTGGTAAACGGCCCTTAAATGATTATTTAAATATGCAATTAATAAAAATTACAAGTCTAACAAACTCTTGCAATGTTTTATTTTGGGCCTATTTTGAAATATTAAGCAAAAACTATCGGGTGATTTTTCCTATGCTCGATCAAAAGCACCCAATTTTCACGTCACTGCGCCAATAAAAACTCGACACGTAAGCATTTTTCTTTTCTCAAAACTTCCACGAAGGTCGAGTTATATCATCTTCAGCGTTTGAGAAGACTCCCCAAGTCCACGCGGATCTTCTATGGCTTACGTCGAACGAGGTACGCTTCAATCGCAATCTCTTCCTCAATTGCTTTTGTTGATTTCGGAAATCGAAGTTATTTGGTTATTGAATGTATATTTCATATATTGAGCTTCATATACGTTGTTTTCTATGGCTGTATTTAACCTGAAAGGTTTAAAAATTTGTAAAACTCAAGTTTCCATGGTGATTAGATGAATTTGAAGTTGAAATCGTTGTTATTGGATTCTGGAGTTTCTATATATGGAAGAATTGAGACTCTTTTGGAGCATCTGATTTGATAATTTGGGTTATACTCCTTTGACCATCTACAGCTTATTTGGGGATGGAGCACTAGATATCATAAAAAGGATGTATTATGTGGTAAATATCAGAAGAATTATGAGCATTTACGGCGACTTTATTTGCTATCATTGAATGTTGTATTAGTATCTGATCTCCCTAAACCCTAATTTTTAGGTTCAAGAACTAATACCGAGTGAATTGGGATATAATTGGAGCTAGCTAGTGATATGTTGCTTATGGTGTTGCTTTGTTTTCATTTATTAACTAGGTGTTGTGAAATCCAAGCGATCGATATGGCGACTGAAAACAGTAACTGATTTCTTTTTGGCAATCATTAATTACTTCCAAGTCTTCTTCATGACTTTGTTTTCGGTAATATAAGCTTTTCCTTTCCATAACCATCTCATTAAGTAATGTTTTCTTTCATACAACAATCATCGTCCTTTCTTCCTTCCTTCCACTTATAGATGGAAAAATCTGATGATTATAAGAAAAGCTCCAGTAGCAGCAAGAAGTGGGGAGGTGGTGGTGGCAGTGGCGGTGGCGGGGGTGGCGGCCCATATCGTGGTGGTCTACGTGGCCTTGACCACGTTAGAGGCATCGACCACAGTAAGTTATAATTTCATTAGCATTTGTTTACCAAATGCTTAACAAGTGTCATCACTTCACCATGTGAGCACGGTAAGGAGCGAGAATCTTACCTGCTAAGATGCATACCAATGACCAAAAATCTTACCCGGTAACTGAGAGAGAACAACTCTTACCCGGTAAGCTATTACCGGGTAAAAGACATTTATCAACAATCTATTTTAATGGCCGAAAACGTTATCCAATAAGGTAAGTGAATGTGGTAACACTTGGTAAACACTTACCCGGTATGCCTTTGGTAAATGTCCCCTAAGTTTTCGATAGCCTTTCTCTATTTTAAAAACTTAACAATGTTATTAATTGGCTCTTTCTCCAGACGCCCCTCCAGCCTGTGGATCTTGCTGTGGAGGCTAAAACGCTGTATAGCCGAAACAGAAGTGTACAAGTACGTTTTGGAAATGACTTAATGGGATTAATAGTGTGTGTGATTTATTCGATAAGCTAAGACATATGTGTTTGGTTATGACTTATTTCTAAAAGGTTACATCTTCTCTAATGCCATTTACATTTTAAGGATGTTAAACTTTAATTGATGGGAATCGGGTCTCCCATCTCCCTCGTTATCACAAGATAAATGAATCGTTACCATCCTTTCTAGTCTAATGACCCTAAATGGTTGTTTTACATTAGGGAAAATTGCACAAAAATGAAACCAACTTTCACCTGATTTCTATTTTGGGGAACCAACTTTCAAAATTATTATTTTAGGGAACCAACTTTCACTTGATTTTTATTTTGGGAAACCAACTTTCACCTGATTCCTATTTTGGGGAACCAACTTTCAAAATGGTCATTTTGGGGAACCAACTTTCAAAATCGTCATTTTGGGGAACCAACTTTCACCTGATTCCTATTTTGGGGAACCAACTTTCAAAATCGTCATTTTGGGGAACCAACTTGCATCTGATTCCTATTTTGGGAAACCAACTTGCAAAATAATTATTGAAAAATAACTAAAATTCATTTCTTTTTAAAAATTAATGCAATAAAATCTATTTTTCATTTCAAATCTCGTTTTTTAAATTCAGATATCAAATTGAAGATTTTTCGAGAAAATCCAAATTACCACGATAAAAATTGTTTTTTACTAATGCAATAAAAAAATCAATTTAATAGAAAAAAATTAATTGATGCAATAAAAAATAAATATTAAATATCACATTCAAGATTTTTATATCTAACCAATCTGTGTCAATATTAAAGTTTAAATCAAATTTGACAAATCCAACCAAAAGTTTGATAGAGACCCTTAAATTATCTGTTACATGTTCAACAGATCAATCAGACCTTTAAATAAACAAAAAGTTCGATAAAGACCCCTAAATGACGATTTTAAAAGTTGGTTCCCCAAAATAGGAATCAGGTGATAGTTGGTTTCATTTTGGTGTAATTTTCCCATTTTTCTATAATTATTTTGCAAGTTAGTTCCCTAAAATAGGAATTAGGTGCAAGTTGGTTCCCAAAATGATGATTTTGAAAGTTGGTTCCCCAAAATGAAAATCAGGTGAAAGTTGGTTCCCCAAAATGATGATTTTGAAAGTTCGTTCCCCAAAATAAGAATCATGTGAAAGTTGGTTTCATTTTGATGCAATTTTCCCTTTACATTAATTCCAACAAATCCAAATCTCTCAAAAACCGAATTCCAATTCTCCCAAAAGATTTCATTGATCTGCAAACCAAACAGTTGTTAATATTGCACCATAATTCATTAATACCTCGAAACATAACACCTTTCCATCACAAAAACAAAACAAAAAAAAAAAAAAATTATTTCTTGCGCAACTCCTCACGCATAAATGACTCTCGGACGTAGGAGTCTGCGTTGTTCTGGAACCCCATTTTCTTCACCTGTTTTCTTGCTTTTCCAAAAACTTGCCACCTGTCCACAAAATTTACATTTATGATATAAACACATTAAATTACACGGGTTAAGACCCTTTTTCTAGGTTTAAATTCAGACGCTACCAAAGCTTTTATGGTTATAGAGATTGAACTGCGATGAATCAGCCCATTCATGGTAATCCAAGGATTACCGATGCAGACAAACTGATTCGAATACCCATACTTACAAGACACATATACAAAAGGCAAGAATTTGTTTGAAAAAGGTATAAACTAAAAGTATTAAGTAGGTAGGTGTAGGTGTAGGTGTAGGTGTAGGTTGGTTAGTGTTTAATTATGGATTGCATGAAAAACACAAATGGGATGTTGGAAATATGCGAAGTGTTGGTTGAAAAGAAGAGGGTATTGGATACCAATATATTCCTGTAAAAATGCAGTGGCGGTCGTCTACTATTGACGCCATTTGATTCTACCAGATTTTCTTGTTTAAAAATTCAGTAGAAAATTAAAAAAAAAATCATTTTTTCTTTAAAATCTTACATTTAATTTCAACTGTTTTTTTTTTCAACATTATTTATATTATCAAAATATTTAACATCTTAAATCATCGATGGAAATAATACAACATTTTCTATTAAAGCTAAAAGTCTACCAAAAATACTCAACTTTGAAAAAACAAATAAAAAATTCTCTAGATGATAAAACTACGATGTGGTTTTAAAATTGTGATTTTCGTTTTTATAATTTATTATTGTTTTTGTTCCTGAGATTAAGGGGACGTTTACCAAACACTTATCCAGTAAACACTTATGGGTAAAGTTTAACATTATCATTTACTTACCGGGTAAGATTTTAGTCCACCAAAACGGTATCGTATGCAACAATTTACCCGGTAAGCTCTTACCATGGTAAGAGTCGTCGCTCTCACTTACCGGGTAAGACTCTTGGTCCATATCTTGTTCTTACCGGGTAAGAATCTTGATCTTTACCATATTCATCCGGTAAAATAATGTGACTTGGTGTTCACTTACCTGAGTAAGCGTTTGATAAACGGCCCCTAAATATGTTAGAATTCTTCCATTAATTTAAAGGTATTTTAGTCTTTTTGATTATTATTTTTTTGATTTTTTTGTGTTTTTGATTTAATAAAACTATATTTTTTAACAAAGAAGTTAATAGATGAAAAGAATTATATTATTCTAATATTGTTTACCATGTCGAAGCTCTCTTCCATGTCCTTCCTTTTTTTTGTCATTAAAAAAAATCAATATTGTTTATTATAAAATAATTAAAATATTTTTAGTATAACTACTTTTTTTTTATATTCTTCATTATATTTTAGTTTTTTTAAGTTTGATTTACAGGACTAACATCGTTTATATGCAAGCCATTGAATACTCCTTACATAAGAATATATTTTTTCTTATTTTTTTCCTTTAAAAATATTAATCATTTAGTCTCTAATGAATAAATAAAATAAAATACTATCATGTGAGGGGTACTCAACAACTTACACTTAAATGATGTTACTAATGGAAATCAAATTGAGAAGAAACTAAAACTATAATGACCAAAAATATGAAAATTATATAATTACTTTATCATAAATAATAACAAAATAGTATCACTTTTTTATGTATTAATCCTTTTATCAAAAAATATATAGTTTGATTAAATAAAAAAGACTAAAATAACAAAAAAGAAATTTAATAAACAAAAAAATTCAAAAAGATTAAAATACCTCTAAGTTAAATGAAAGATTTTAATAGATTTAATTTCAAGGACAAAATTAGCAACAAATTACAGGGACGAAAATCAAAAAAAATTCACAAACTACAGGGACGAAAATCATAGTTTACTTTTTGTTGTTAGACAGTTGTTTAATGATTAAGAGGTCAGAATGATTAAGAGGCTTTCATGATATCGTGAAAAATGAAATATAATTGTTTAAAATGAAATTAGAGTGATTAATGGTTGAGGGATGTACATGATACAAAACCATTCAGATGGTTCTTTTTCCTTTTTAACTAGCTCCATAATATTACGGACTTGGATATTGTGCAAGTAGTGACATTTGGGTAAACCCGTAAAGAAATGATTAGGAGACCAATTTGGACGTGAAAAATGATCATTTTAGTCAATTTTCCCTTGCACACGTATTAAAGTTGATGACAATGTAACGATTAATATGACGAAATGCAATTTTCCTTGGCAAAAAGAACCAGCATTAAGGTTATTGTCACACATTCAAAATAAAACTACATACGAGTTATATTTAAAGAGCCCGAAAAATGATCTGAACACCGGAGTTCGGACGAAGTGTGATACGATGAAGTGGTGCATGAACGTAGTTTGGGGATCGGCAGAATCTGTAACGTTGCAAGATCTTCGAGAGGGCGGTTTTAGCTTCGTTTATTCCAAAACTAGAGCCCACGCAGTTTCGAGGTCCATAACCGAAAGGTAGAAATGCTTCTGGATTGTCGTTAGTCGCTTTCACAATCCCATCGGAAAATCTATCGGGTTTGAAGAGATGAGCCTCTTGTCCCCATATTTTGGGATCATGATGAAGAGCCAATGCTGGTATTTGCAGATTTATATTTGCAGGAAGATTCAGATTTCCAACTTTCATTTCCCTCCCAACTCTTCTGGTTATAGCAATTCCAGGTGGGTATAGTCTTAATGTCTCATTGATGATCATCCCCATCTGTAATAAGACACCACACAAAATCGGCTTAATAGAATGTCTTAATAGACTGTTGTACATTGTTTAAGTTACTACCAAACAGTGATGTATAGGTGACAAAATAAGGTGTTAGTACTGTTAAGTTCATGAAGTTACTAGCAAACATGCACTTGGACATGTCTGATATCCTATAAAACCGATTTTGTTTAGGGAAATTGTTAACGAGATCAATAAGCTTACTGTCTTGAGTCTTGCAATGCCTTCTGAAGTTGGGTTTTCGTTACCGAATACTTGCCGCACCTCTTCTCGTGCCTTCTCTTGCCATTCGGTATGGATGGCGAGAAGAAGAGTCGCCCACGAGAGCAAAAGCGAGACCGTTCCATGCCCAGCAGCGTAAAACGTTTTGCAGTCGTCGATAATATCCTGTGTGGAAAGCTTGAAATTTTCATGGATGTCATGATGAGATTTCAGAAGTAGTCCAAGATAATCATTTCTGGAGTCGTCTTCATCCATCGTCTTCTCTCGGCTTGATATCATCTGCATAATGAGATCGCGAATGCCCGCTTGCAGCTTATCAGATTCTACATCGTCTTTATCTTTAAAGATCTTCCTGTGAAGTTTAAAAACGGTTTAGACTGTCACATCAGCTAGACTTGAACCATTTCTTTTCAATATATGTCTGATTGATGATACGAAAGGTAGGTCGGTTAAATTTACCCGAATCCAGGAAGCCTGATTCTGTACGAGTTCTTGGAAGCTATCATGGTCAACTCCCCAAGCTTTTGGAAAACTTGTTTCCCCTCTTCGTAGCTACTGCCGAAGGCGGTTCGAGAAATGACTTCTGATGTCAAAATTCTGAACTCTTCGTAGACGTCCATCTCTTCGTTTCCGGCTTCTTTCCACCGTGTTAGCATCATGTCGACACTTTGAACCATCGCCGGAACCATGTTCTGCAGCCAAACGAACAAGAAAAATGACTTCATTGTCGCACTACAACAAAATCAACTTTATAAAACGTCATACATGACTTTTCATTTCAAAATATATTAAAAAACGTTCTATTAACTTATTGTAACACGTTTATATATATATGATTCGAACGAACTTACTTTCAATCTTTCGGCATGGAAAGCATGATTCGCGATCTTTCGTTGTTTCGCCCATTTATCACCTTCAGACGAAATCAGACCTTCTCCAACGATCTTCTTCATAATCGGCCCCATATCTTGTTTCCCCATCGAAATCTCTCGATTACTCATTATTTCCTTGAGGATCACAGGTTCAGTAACAACCAACATAGCTTCTGGACCATGCCAATACACGAAATTCTTACCTGCATCGACAAAAACGTCTTAAAACCTGCATAAATCATAAACCAACGACGAGAATAACACCAACCATATATGCGGAACCATGAATCGATATGAGGTTGAACCCGTGGAAATATGTAATGCGATGTGTCCATGGGAAAGCTCATGGATTTCTTCCTCATGTTGGATATTTCTTTGGTGTTGCCATGGATGAAACTATACGGAGGTCCGTGAATTCCTTGTGGGCTTAATACACGCTTTATGTTCATCTGAATCCACCAAAATTTGTGAAGGAATTTGAAGAGAAGTAGGAGGGTTACAGAGCATAGTATGGCTATAAAGATTCCCAGAAAAGTTGCCATTCTGGTAATGCAATTACATGATGTTGAGTTTGGGGATTTATAGAGAAATCAAGTGAAACACCCCAAAGCAACGGTCTGAACCAATAAGTTCGAAAGATATGTTTGGCTTTTTTTGTTGGCATTTAGCCATTTGGCTTGTGTTCTTGTTGGCTTAATGGTTTTCTTGGAAAGATCAGATGACACATTGTTGGTGCTGATTTTGATGCTTAATGAGCTTATTTAATATGGACAAATGACGTAAATGTAACACCAGCTTGATCTTGACAGAATTCCTACTACTATTGTCAAATCCAGGCTAATTGACATTATTTCTTTTTTATTTATTTATTAAAACCGGGATCGAGAGCGTGAGTATGATGATGACGGAAAAGAACGGGTAATATAGAAAAGCAAGCATTGATCAGCATACGAGTATCGTGTAAGAACGAAGATACATTTGGATTCCGGTTATTTGTGGAATGATTCCGTAAGAATGACTAACATGTCGGGTCGGATTGGATTGGGTTCGGTTCTGTTCGGTTGGATTGTAACTTGTAAGCTATTGTTTGTTATAGAAGAAAACTACAAACAAGAAAGACTACATGATTATAATCTCCTCCTCTCGCCACTTCCGCCAACCCAAAATCCATTCACATGAGCCAAAATGTGCATGCAAAGACCGAAAAAACCAAATAGGACCGGAGAAAACTAGACTTGAACGATTATGTTTGGTTCTAGCTTCTAGATATCTTTAAAATTGGGTTTTTATTTGAATAAAATGTATAAAATAGCAACCTACTTTCATAAATTTGTTTATTATAACATTGTATTTTTAGTTTTTTTATTAAAGTAATGTATTTTCAAATTATTTTTTATTAGTACGTTATACTTTGAAAAATATATTTATTATAACATTGGATGACCTTTTGATTTATATTTACTCATTATATTAGGTTTTCATGTCATCTTACTATCCACGATTCCACGTAGGTTGTTCACATGTATTGTAGCTGATGTGGCATTTTTTTATTACAACATTGCAATTTCAAAATTATTTTATTATAACACTTATACAACATTGTACTTTTTATTCTAATATTTTATTATTTAGACATTTTACATGTTATTTAATAAATATATTAAACAAATTAGAAAGTTTCTAGATTATTCATTAATATATCAATATTAATAAAACTAGTATAACACAATATCTCGCTAACATTTTTAAAAAATATGTATTTTTGAAAAATATAAATAAGAATTGTTATTTTTTTTTACCATAAAAAGATTTTTCAAAGTACGATGTTTTGATAAAAAAATTAATTTGAAAGTACATTTTTTAATAAGTAAAAATGAAAATAGAATGCTATAATAAAAATTTTATATAAAAGTATGTTGTTATTTCATGTATTTAATCGTTTTTATTTGGTTTGGTCTAGACAAGTTCAAAACCGAAGCAACCCAGTTCATTTTATTTTTGATATTTTGTATGAAATTAAAGGGAAAGTCTAGAATACCCAATGAATTTTCTCTGTTTAAAAGATTAAGTCTGGATTTTTTTTTTCTAAATGAACAACTCATTAAACTTTTTCATTTTGAAGGATTAAGTTCATAAATATTTTCTTTGATAAAAAACTGTCAAACTTTTATAACTAGTTACATACATTTTCTTAACCCAAAAAAAAACCACTTGTAACTATTTGAATTCTAATAAGGTTTTAAAGTTAAAAAATATATAAATCGGTTGAATTACCTTTCTCAAACCCTACGACTTTCAAGCCCCACACCTAACACCGTCACTCTAACTCTTCCATTGTTGTCCGCTCTCCATCACCACTCATCACTGCCGTGGGCCCCTTCTTGTTTATTTGGGGGGTTTTCGATTCTCTTTTTTGATCTGTTTATATGTACTCTATTAAATTGTCGGAAAAGAATGTGAATTGATCTACAAAGGACATATAAAAAAGTGTGAGATTCACAGTGACAATGGGCGTTGATGGAGAGCGATGACAATGGGGTAGCAAGGGGGAGTGATGGTGTTGGGTGTGAGGGGTTTGAATAACGTATGGTTTGGAAAATGGTAAAATTGATTTAGGGTTTTATCTAATTTAAAACCTTACAAGCCGGTTGTGGGAAAGTTTTTTGAGTTAAAAAAACGTAGGTAACCAATTTTTAAAATTTAATGGTTTATTTATTAAAAAAAAATAAGAAGTTAATTATTCAAAATAGGAAATTTATTTGGTTTTCTCAACTTTTTGCAAAATTAAATTGAAACTATAACCAATGGTAGTGGGCCACGTACATGGGCCGGGCAGTGAGCTCGTTGAGTATTCTAATAAGTAAATTAAAAATTTGTGAAATAAAGAGTTAAATTGAGAAATATAAAGAGGCATTTGGAATTTTGATCACTTTTAATTTTAAATTCATTTATGAATTCCATTTGTAATGGGAATTGATTTAGTATATCTAGATGCATCTCATCCTAATATACATTTAAAGGTGGAGATTCTTTCTTACACTTCTCACGTTGAGTCTCCTTTTAAACGGAACACAACCCATATATTAAATTATCATTTATTACTTAATAAAATAAAAGTCTATACCATCACGTTTGGTTTTTATTTTATTTTTAATAAAATCCAAATACATAGAAGTGATTATTTTTTAATAGATGTTTTTTAAAGAAGTTAGAGAAAAGGATCGTTCAAAGCAAAAATACAAACGATAATGTGACTATTTATGTATATTCAAGGTTCTAAATGACGTGAGGCATGATGTGGCGTCGAGGTTAAATCTCAAGCCTTAGAAGCCACGGCGAGGCCGCAGCGTTTTTCAAGGCGTGACTTATGGCGGCAAATCTTTATATCATATATAATATTAATCATATAATCATATATTTTCTAACGTTACTTATTGTGTCAATGATATTAAATAATTTAAATTAAGTTATACATTAGAAACTAACAAATAAGACATTAAAAAGGTAAGAAAAATCAATTATTGCATTTACAAAATCCATGCATTAGGCCATGGCGTTACACAGGTATAATATGATCTATAAGACACAAGGCTTAAGTCACGGCATGTCACGACACGCCACAACAGTTGTTATCGCGAGCTTTTTAGAAGACTAGTATTATTGAAGCATCGGAATATTTTTAGGTTTTTGAGTAAACCCTTGGGAGGGCCAAAAGTGGAATTTAAGGGGCCGTTTACTAAACGCTTATCTAGTAAGTGTTTACCGGATAATTTTCTTTACCAGATTAACTTGGTAAAGGTTTAGAATCTTACCTGGTTAGAGCGGTAAAAGAATGGCGAGTCTTACTAGGTAAGAGTGGTGAAAGGATGAAGAGTCTTACCCACTAAGTGAGAGTGACGATTCTTACTCGGGTAAGCGTTTACCGAGTAAATTATTGCATATTACATCGTTTTGATGCACTACAACTTTACCCAAAAAAATAAATTATAGTGTTGACTCATATCGGTAAGTACTTACCGAATAAACATTTGAGTAAACGGCTTTTAAGTAATTGCTTTTCTCCAAGCCCAGTAAGCAGCAGATCCCATCACATGATTCTGCCAGCCCAATTCTTAGAAGATAGGCATTAGAATGAATATAGTTAAGAACTTAATAGGCACATGATATGGATTCTTAATCATCTTTAAGGATCTGGACCTTTAATCACAGTTTATATATGATTGTTTGATAGTGGTTTAATAATATAGAAAACCATTATCAAACATGTACCTCTCAATTTATAAAATTCCAATTTCTATGGAAATTAATTCATACAGACAATTTTATCCTTACAAATATCTTTTAATACTCGTTAATTTTACTGGTGTAAACATTTCCCGCTCCCCAAAAACCCACCAAACTAGTTATTTCTAGTTTTCATTGGTAGCAAATGATTCTATTAATACTCAAAAGACTTGGAACATTTTTCTCCCAGCAAGTACTGTAACCTTGCTGGTAGAAAGGTTACAGTACTTACCAGCAAGTACTGTAACCATGTCAAATACCTTCCAGCCTAGTGGTAAAGGCTTGGGCATGACATAGTCATGAACCCGAGTTTGAGCCCTGGGAGGGGAGTGTTGGCGACATTTAAGTGGGGCCATGTTTAGCCTCCAAATTTGCCGGGGATTAGTCGGGCTTTGGCCCGGACACCCTTACAAAAAAAAACAAAACAAAAAAGTATTGTAACCATCGTTAGCATAAAAATAATGACAATGGTTTGTTGCTATCTTATCTCTTTTTTAAGACGTAATCATATAATACATCATTTACCTATCTTGGTAGTTGATAGGCCGTTGCGTGCAAATAGTTACATGTCTAATTCGGGAATAAACATGTTAGTTATTGTAACATCTCTAATAATTAATATAACGTCAACCTGAATTCCTTTTTTAACATCACATAACCATATCTTTCAAGAACAAATGGTGTTGGGCCAAACATTAATCACTTTTATTTCCACCTGGCTTTTGAGGGTGTGGATTATGATGATTTCCACTTTCATTGAAGCATTCTCCTAATTTGGACAACCAAATTCGAATTACATCAGGTAGAATATACACTGCATCTAGATATTTATAAATGACGTTCTAGAATGTAAGAAATCTTAGAAGGATGGAAGGGAATCTAGAATACTCTACACTTTTGTGTTAGACGGTCACATTATGACGACTAACTTGGCAATTGAAGCGTATTGTAATTCAAAACTCATTTAAGATCATTAAACTAAATGACCTCTACACCATAAAATAGCGTTTTTGTTTGAAGGAAACATGATGTTTCAACTAAACTTCGTAGACTTGATTTTATTTTTGTGTTTGAATGGAGGGTTTGTTCTCGATTAAAGTTGTTCAGGGATGGTACACCCTGTTGGACCTGGTCCGTCCAGTCCGTTAAAAAAGCTGGCTTGGACAACAATTCTTTGAAAATTTGGTGGGCTCAGGCTTGACATTAAAATTAATGGGTGGTCCCGGGCTGGACACCGTTAAAATTAATGGGTCGGCTCAGGCAATGAAAAAAAAAAAGAACAGCGCGGCACGTCTCGCTATATTTTTCTACTTCTTTTTGTTAAAAAGATTTTAAAGTGGCTTTGGGTTGGCCTCCCTCTACTAAGTACCAATGACCTCTCAAATATATATTATATGTGATATGTAACACAAGACGTCTTAAATCTTGATCTTGAAATATTATACGGTTAAATATTTTGTTATTAAAAAACCTGGACTTTAAAAGTTGAAAAATCACTGGAGAGAAAATATTCATACTCCATATATTATGAAACTATTTTTTTTCCTTATGTTATGTTCATTAGTATCTTTTACGTCTTATTTTATGTTGAAAAGAAAATTATGTACTTTAAAAGGATTTACATAACTTACAATTTTGTATAAGTTCTGTTTTCTTAATCGAAAAAACTAGGTCCGTTAGTCCGTAAAAACAAGTTTGGGTTTACTATATTAAATTCATTGCACAAAAAAATTATGTTTAATCAGGTCTGAACTAATTCGAATCAGTCCAAACCCACAAATCATCACCTGTACATAATATTGTTGTTGGCATGAATGAATTGTGTTTAAATTGCAATTGGAATTGGGATTTTTGTGGTTTTTCATGAACCCTAGAATCAAAAGTGGATATGAAGAACTACAAAGGTGGTGTCTGATTGGTTTGAGCTTGATTCCAAAGATCAAAAGTATCAAGAGGTACCAGGTTCAAATCCAAGGAGGAATAAAAATCCTCTTGTGGCTATGGAGGTTCAAATGCGATGACTATGGCCTATCTGCAAAACATGTGGTCGTCTGGGGATTAGTCGACTAGCATAAAGGTTGAATATTCAGGTTAATCCAAAAAAAAAAAATTGGATATGAAGTATAAAGGTCAAGGTCAAACATGTAACCTTACTTCTATAGCTTGGTAGAGAAAATGCAAATGGTAAATTTCTGTATGGTTAGATTAGAACTAGCAATCTTGACCAGCTATTACCTATATTAGGGACCCATGTGCATAGACTGGTTGTACTGTACAATACACCAAATCTCAAATTCAAGAAACACCATTTTTATCATTGTTAACCACTTCCCAATATAAAACGAGTTCTATACTTAATTCTGACATGAATGGAGATGCATATGTGTACCTGTGTTAATGTCAAAATCAGGTTAAATCATACATTAAAAATGTAAAAGGTAATTACTGATGTTTGAAGTATGAAAGCAACAAGGGTCTAGAATCAGAGTTTCCTTCAAAGTCTCTGCACATCTTTGAACATTGAAACAGCACCACTTTTTTCGTCAAAAGATTTGGTGCAACTCCTTTTCATCACCAAATATGTTTCTCAATCTTTTTCGATACCAACAATTCCTAATTCAAACAGCCTTTTTCCACAATTTGGTACTTGACTGCTTTAACACATTGTACAGTACAATGACTTGATGCATGTCTCATGAACCCTGACCTCACTGCCATTTGGAACCAGGGTTACATCACATTGACTTTGACCTTGACCTTGACCTTGATCTTCAAACAAGATGATCAAGAAACAAACCCACAAAAAGAGGAATAGAAATCTATGAAAATTAAGTTGAATCTTGATGTATTTACAAACTATACAAAGGGTATTGGTGATTGTCATTCAGTCGTGTCGATCTAAGTTAACAAGTGATGAATCTAAAAGTGTGTTTTCAAGAGTAGGATCTAACAAGCCCAAAGTTGCAAAAAGATTTCGATTTGAACAATCCACCAAACAGGAATCTGGTCGGAGATTCTTGGCGATTTTCGATCAACTCGTGCGGGTTGCATTTCACTTTAAGGATCGTTTGCCCGATTTCTTTCCTGATAGAATCGATAATCTTGTTGTCCACCGGATACCCAGATGCATCACGAACGTAGAACGTGTTAACGGCTTTGCCGTTCCGTGTTGCCACCTCCGCTCTCGTCACCGTCAGGCTGTTCTCACGAAAAATGCGAGTTACATCAGATAGCAGACCGGTTCTATCCGTTGTACATAGTTCTAGCTTCAGGCCCTACACAAAAAAACAAACGTCATGTGAGAATATGTGGAACCCCGATAGGTTATTTACCAATGAAAGCTCAGAGAATTTTGGTTCCGATATATAGTATATACCGATAAAAAAATGGTGCAAGTCTAGCTGATTTCGGTATCTACGATAGCAATAACTTTCGATTCCAGAGAATAAAACTATGGCATTTTTCTAGATGTTTTACCTCGGAAACTCTTCTTTCAATGGCTGATTCAATGCATTGGATCACTCTTTGCCTCTCGGCGTCTGATTTCACAAGTGAACCGTCTACGTGTCTGATACAGTATTCCTTTATGACCAGAAAACACATTAAGAGCAATTCACTACAATAAAATCAGCTTTATTTTGTAGAATTGGAATAAATAGTAGGGAAACCCACGAAAAGTTAACAAACCTGATAAGCTTCGGGGCCTTCGGCATCCACATGGCCATGAAAAACAACGTACTCCATATCCGTCAACGTGCAAATGGTGTCGAACAGTAGCTTAGGCCTATCCTTGCATCGAATCGTGACCACCGAACAATCTTTATCGTACCAGTTCACAACGTTCACATCCGGCCTTTGTGTTTCGTCTAAACCAGCATCGCTACCTCTCTCATAATCGCGATCTGCAAGCATCATCTGGTGCAGCCGTCTCTCGGTGTGGATAACACCATGAGAGACTACGGTCTTGGCTTCTCGAGCTTTGTTGCTCCCTTTAAGCACGTTGCTAAGCATTTGCTTTATAATCGAAAGTCTATCAGGGTCATCAATGGCTGACCCTGATTCGTCATCCGTCACTTGCACTATGAACGCGGCTCGTGTGTTGTGAGTCCAAACCTCGGCATTCAACACGTTACACTTCAAGTGTGTCAAAACCGCAGACACTTCTGATAGTAATCCGGGTCTGTCGGTTCCTATCAACTCGATTACAGTGGAGTCCGTTGAGCATGTCACTCCAACGGACTTCATGGTGGTAAAGCTGGTTTCAGAGCCAAGAACCTGAGATCAACTCAAATTAATCAGGTTTGTTTTCAGGATATCACAGATCCCCACCGGGGTTATTTAGCTAAATGACCTTTTTAACAGGTTTTTAGGCATTCTTTCCTTCCGTTAAGGAGTGTCATTCTCAAACATGTCGGAATTAAAAAGTTACTTAACATATACTAAGAGAATCTTACCTTTTGAATGTAATCCAAGATTTCTTCATCTGTGATTTTGTTCCCTTCTGGATCAGTGACATTAAAAACTGTCCAAGAAACAGTAAGATGGATCTGTCAATCGACATCACTCAAATACGAAATCATCGGACTAAACAATAACAATCTGTAGATGGGAATTACCATCCATGAACCACCCTCCATCAGAACTAATGTAAGCCTTTGTAACAATGAAGTTGAGATCAGTAAGAACTTGTACAACTTCTAAAAGAATCCCATGTTTGTTAGCACTGTCCACCTGCTTCAATGGAGGTTTCATACATTATAAACTCGATCAAAAAACAAAATACAAGAACACCCCCAATCATCGAAGATAAGGTCACAATGAAATTTATATAGACAATTTTCCTTTGATATTGAACAATATGCCGATATATACATACATACATATATATATATATACATATATATATATATATATATGTGTGTGTGTGTGTATATACCTGGATGATGGTAGCATTTTTGCAGGATTCGTTGTCGATTACAACTCGGGGTGGATTCATTCGACGGATAAACTTCTGATATTCGTCTTCCATGTTTCGAGAGTAGCTCCAACTGATCTCTGTAGAAATACATAGAATATAAATAGGAATATGTGGAAAAAAGAAGACAGAGAAAGAAAGAGTCTTGAACCACCGGAAAAAGGGCGTTCAAGTCTCACTTTCCATGTCGGCAATGGTGGTTGGAAGCCATTTTTACAGCAAATCACATAGTCAAACACACCAAACATTCGGCAAAGATGAATTGATGGGCACAACACCACAAAATTACAAAGAATTCAAGCTTTAATTTCTTGTTTCTGTTTCTATTAAACCTTTCAAAAACCAGGTTCCAATATAAATTTATCAACCCAAATACATACAAGATCATATGAGTTTGAAGTCTTCAAAACAAACCCAATATGAATATATGATCACACACACACACACACAGAGAACAACAGAAATTAGCAGAGAAACAAAGAGGAAAAGGAAAACTGCATACCCATTGCAAAATTCTTGATGGGTGTTCTTGATTCTTCACGGTTAGAATCGCAAATTGAGAAGGGAAGATCCAAATTAGTTTTGCAGGATATATGGATTTGATTTCATAAAGAAATATATATATATATATATATATATATATATGTGTGTATTGTTTCCCTAATATACCGAAGCAGCACCCAAATGAAATCCAAAGAAAGGGTGTGTTTTCCCTCTGAAAAAGCATGTAAATTTAGTCTCACACATGAAGTTGAACGTGCAAAATGCAAATACAACTGGCTCCATTAAACCCAGGCCTACAAGTACTTAAAAAGGATGCAGAAAACAGGGATACGGGTTGGCGCATGTTAGCACGGAACTCGTACATGATAGCGACTTAGCGTTTCTGTTTGCTAAAGTGGCCATCGGTTTTTACTTTTACCTAGGAACGTATTTAAGGAAACTACTGTAATTATCTCCCAAGTGTGTGGAGACACATCAACACTTGCCTCTTTTCCAACCGTTTCTCCTATTAAATATTGTAATAAATTATTAAATATGTTAATATTTATTAATTTATTTTTAACATATATCAATATCAAGACTTATTTTTTATTTTTTTAATGCATGATTTAACATGAATCTAACTTAAATAAGAATATATATATATATATAACTACTGTATAATTTATGTTTTATTAATTTAGAACTGAATGTTATTAAAGTTGGATAATCGTTAGTGTGTTTTTGGAAAAAAAATAATTAAAAATAATTTTAATTATTTTGTTTTTATTAAAAAAACAAAAATAGAAGAAGGTGCGGAATAGGGGGTCAAAAATTGGGTGCGGGCACATATGCGCATGTCTTTGCGGTTACCACGGCCCCTTTTGTCTCTTGCACATGTTTCTCCTATTCCACTTCCGCCCCCTCACACCTACACTCAGAGGGTGTAAATAATACGAGACAATTCACGAGTTATTCGAAATCGATTCGATTAATACTCAACTCGAATAGGTTTTGCTCGAACTCGAGCTTCACTCGACATATTAAGGAGTCGAGTCAAGCTCTCTAATACTCGACTCGAAAAGCTCGTGAGATACTCGATTATTTTATATATAATTAGTTATAAAATATAATCAGTTTTTATGATAAAATTTATAAAATATAAATAATAAAAATGTCTTATATTTTTAGATACTTAAACAAAATTATATATTTTTAATTATAAAAATTAATCAATTATTTTTTGTTAAATCATAATTAAAAAAACTATAAAAAGGGTTAGTGAAATTGTCTTACATTGGAAGAAAGATGGTAAAGTAAGAGAGAAAATATGTTACAAAGAGAGAGAGAGGTGAATGAAATTTCTAACTTTGTCTTTTTGATGATAAAGTTTGAAGTTGAAACTTTTAGTTTTATAAAAACTAAAAGAACACCTTTAAGTTTTAAAATTTATAAGATAAATACCCTAAAATTTCATAAATTTCAATGGGTGAGCTTGATTTGAGTTTGAGTTCGAGTTCAAACTTGATTTGAGTTGCAATTCGAGTTTGTTTTGAGCTTGATTTGAGTTTGCAATTCGAGTTTGTTTCGAGCTTCATTTGCGTTGCAATTCAAGTTTGTTTCAAGCTTCATTTGAGTTGCAATTCAAGTTTGTTTCGAGCTTGATTTGAGCTCGAGTTCGAGTTTGATTCGAGCTGAGCTCGAACTTGAGAAATAGTTATGAAGTTCGAGTCGAGCTTTGATATTTACTACTCGCGAGTTTCGAGTCGAGTTCGAGCTTGGAAATTGGATTTCGAATTCGAGTCAAGTATAGTGATACTCGAGCTCGACTCGCATCATTTACACCCCTATTCACATTATACATTTATTTTTCTTTTTTAACATTCACCCTTTTTATATGTTTATAAAAAAAAAAGTTGAACTGATATTTTATAAAACTAATGATTAATAAAAAGAACTCGTTTATTTTCTTAGAACCGTATAATTTTATAAAATAAAATCGAGAAAGACGATGAATTATAAGAACTAGAGTTGTTTTTATTAATATTTATTTGATTAATATTTGATATTGTCTTGGTAGTGGGATATTTTACTATCCATTAGGTTATGATTTTTATATATAGGATTACGTTTCGTTAAGAATATAAGTTATGGTGAGAAAGGTAAAAAATAATCTTTATCCTTTATATCAATTTTAATTGAAAATCAACACTAATATGATGTACCGAATCAGTTCTCACGATAAGCATAATCCATTGAGTGGGCATGAGATTAAAAATAATCAATAGTTCAGATTTGTTCTTACATTTGGCAGGATTTTAATTTGAACTATAAGTAATATTATTTAACCTCAAACATCTATCTAAAACATAAGTTCATAAATATAGTAATAATTTTACATCTAATTTGTTATGTAATATTTTTTAATGACTCGAAATATAATCATAGTATAATGTTTTAAAAACAATATAAAAATTATAAAACAAGAGTTTTCATTGTATTTGTTTTTCTAGGCCTCATTTTGTTTCTCATTTTATCATCATGAACTCTTTTAGTAGATATGTAAAAGGTAAATTAAATTATACACTAACATAAAACATGTATGATACCATTATAAAAAAATACTACAGGGTAATATTTAGCTTCACGAAGAATTGTGTAAGAATGAGTTAATGTGAGAAACATAAGAAAGTATCTGAACCTTTGATCACTTTTAATCTCACCTTCACCATATGAATTGCTTATAATACATAAGTTGATCCGATGCATCTCGGTATATCTCATTAGGGTTTGATCTTCAACTAGGATTGATCTAAGGGGTGGAGATCCCTTACAGAACCTTCTTACCATAACTTCCAATTTTGTTGGAACTTCTATTTAACTTGATATTTATATCTATAAATCTATTAATATTTAGCTTTAAACAGTTATACATACATACATATATATATATATATATATATATATATAATTTCATAACAGCTATTGGGTAATGGATAATGAAAAACTTTTTTATACATACTCTACCCATTAAAATTTCAATAAACATGTAATGGATCATGAAAAGCCTTTTATCAATACCCCAAGCACTAAAATTTCGGATAAACGAGTAGTGGATAATGAAAACTTTTTTATTCATACCCAACCCACTAAAGTTTCGTGTAAACGGGTAATTGATATGTTGATAAATCGATACAATTTTCTTTAATCGTACTTTTATCCAATTGTTCGAAACATAACAGATAATGAATTTACCATTACTCATTGTCGTCCCTAGTTATAACATGTGTTGCCCATATTGTATATATATATATATATATATACATATATATATATACATATATATATATATATACTAGTTGTGTACCCGCGCAATGCGGCGGGAGCCATGAATTTTAACGATTTTGAAGTTTCACTGGTTTTATAAGATAAGATTTAACGATGATATAGGTTACACTTGGTATTTACATATTAATACAATTTGAATAAATAAGAGTTATGGTTCCAATTACAGACTAT